CGCAAACGGTTCAAGGCTGGATTCCCGGCATAGACCACGGTGAAGCGCTCCCAAGCCCATCCGGAGGGAAGCGAGGCGGCTGGCATGATTGCGCTCAAGTCCATGCCGAAGTTAGTGCCATCACCGTGCAGCCTCGCCGGTTCGTCCCCGAAGTCCAAAAACCAGGTGTGGTCTTGTTGAATGGGTTTTTAGGGGCTTAGGTTTAGAGGTTTTGGGGGTGCAGAGTTTAGCCCTCCACCACTGGAAGAATGAGGGAATCAGCGGGGGATGCGCTACAGGAGACTCATGCCCCCTCAGTCCTCACGAAGCGATTGTGGATCGTGTTGTGCAGGGCAATCTCCCCATTCCCAGCATCCACCACGGTGAAGCGCTCGTGGGTCCAGCCATCAGGGAGATCAAGGCCTAAACCGATGAGTAACCTAGGAATAAAAAGGGTGCCCTTCTTGGTTTGAAGGGGGTTCTGAGGGAACTTGGACCCCAATAAAAAATAATAGGGGCCTACTCTGAGTCCTAGAGGCCCATAGGGTCTGAGGCCGCCATGTCAGTGAAGGTCATTTTCACATACTTGTTCCATAGACCGCTGTGCAGGGCGATGGTGGATCCCGGCTTCATGTCCGGTGGCGGCACCTCCGTCTATGCCAAGATATGATTCTGAGAAGCATCCAAATTCTAGAATAAACCCTAAACCCTAAACCCGAAACCCGAAACCCGAAACCGGAAACCCGAAACCCTAAACCCAAATCCGGGAACCCTAAACCCTAAACCGTAAACCCTAAACAGCCCACTCCTTGGAGACGACAGAGCCGACGTCCTTCTTCCCAAAGTCGCGAAGCGCGTCCAGGGCTTTGCGCTTGCTGCCCTCAGACCTTGGGGACCCAACTGAGCCCGAAAAGGGTTAAGGGTTAAGGGTTAAGGGTTAAGGGTTAAGGGTTCCTGGACCCCAATAGGGATTACTAATATACCCAAAATAGGGAATCTTATACCCCAAACAGGGAAGTAGGTGTGATAGTGGCATAGGGTATGCGATCAACAAATCAAGAGCTCCCTTGGTCTGCAAGGGACACAAACGGCAAAGCCGCAAGGACAATCTGGAACTGCTCGACGACATTCACCAGCCGGATCCTTTTCGTGGGGGTCCCAAACGGTCCGAACTCGATCTTTACGGCCAGGTCGAGATCGTTGTCCTAGTCGGGCGCTTTTTTGGCAAGCTGTCAGAGTGCTTTCAGAGGATTCGGGTGGCTTCCCAAAGTCTGGGTGGCACCTTCATGCTTGGGGCTAGGGGGTACCCTAAACCCTAAACCCTTGAAACCCTAAACCCTAAACCCCAACGCCTAGAGCTAGTATCGGAGATCCTACTTGCTCGCAAAAAAAGCAAGCCCTGGGCCAGGGCCTCCAAGAGCCCTTGGACCTCGAAGCTCACCATGCCAGGATTCCTCAGCTTCAGGAAGGGTCTTAGAGGGTGTTAAAGGGTTTATAGGGTTCATAGGGCTGACAGGGTTTGACAGGTTTGGGGGGTGTTTGAGGGTACAGGTTTTAGGGTTTAAAGTTCAGTGTTTATCCCCCCCCCCCCCCCCCCCCCGGGCAAAAGACCCTGCTGAAGCCAGATGTGACAAGAGTCTTAAACCTGAAGAGCTGATAATAGTCGTCACCCGCTGTGGTGGCCTCACCCTGGAGGGCACTCATTCCCATACGCCTCAGCACCTCCTCCCCTCTGAGCTCGGAAGTTTGGGTGATGCCGCTCTCTCCATACTCCTCGGGTGGAGTTTCTTTTTTTGTTTCAGGGGGGGGGGGAGTGGGGGGGAGTGGTGGCTGTCAACGTTGCATCTCTGTCTGGGTGTTCAAAGGTTGCATAGGGCTATGTAGGGGAGAGGGATCTTTTATTTAGGGCCCAGAGAACTTCACATTTTCATCCCCAAGCTCAATGGACGCCAGGTAGAGGTCCGGCTCGGGGGTCCAGTCCATCGAGTCCATGTCTGCCCTTTGGCCACCTTGACCTTGACTGCCCCCTTGGCTTCGGTTGGCATCCAGGAGCCTCTGCTTTCTGCACTAGCTTGGATAGTAATAATAATAAGAATAATGCTTATAATAACAATAATAATAATGATAATAATAACAAGAGTAGTAATCGTAGTAACCCTATAATCCTAGACCCTGAGCCCTACAGTACATTGAACCTCCTCCGCTTGAAGAAAGATGCGCAATGTTAGCACCTGGGAGCGAGGTCGTCCTGGACATGGGCTCCAAGCCACGCCCGTTCTCCGCAGCATTGCGAGCGACCCCAAACTGGCCACGGTAAGTTTCGTGGGTGCCATGGATGTTGCCGTTCACGAAATCAGTACTGTCGCCTTAGTGACTTAGTGGCGCAGCAGAATTCAGGAGAGGGTGACCTCCCATGCTCTGCCATGCTTCTCCATGCAATCATCAAGACCAAGAACCAGACGGGTCTCTGATTTCACAGCCGAGCTTCCAAAGCGCTGGGTCAAGCGAAGAGTGCGGCTGAAGAGCAACATGCCGCCCGAGCGGATCTGTGTCTTCAGGACGCTCAGGTCCACACCATCCGGCTGCTTGTCTGGCCAGCAAACCTGAGCTTCATGGTGCTCACCAGCGAGCCCTGGAAAACCAAAACCCAACATCGGCCCGCCCTGGCTGATGCTAATTAGGTCCTTTGAAAGGGTCTGCAAACCTAGAAGGCCTGTCCATGAACTGGTCTGGCCGGCAAGCTTGAGAGTCCAGGGCCGCCAGGGGCGAGGGCATCAAGTCGAACTGTAGGCCGCCAACAAAGGCCAAGACCGGCTGCATGGACAAGGAGTATGTCACCTCAGCTCTGCTACTTCCGAAAGGCCTCTGCATTCGCCGGGCAGCTTGCTGCCGTCACAACCGTACCAAATCAGCTCCTGCAACTCCACTCGATCATGGTTGCTACTACGAAGACGGCACCGGTGCAGACGTCCTGATTCTACATGCCCTAAACCCTAAACCCTAAACTCCCTAAGCCCTAAACCCTAAACCCGAAACCCATGGAGCCAGGCCAAGCTGCCGTGACACACTTCTCCAGAGGCATCTCCCAGCTGTAGAAGGTGTAGCCCTGCCACTTGTTCCAGTTGTCCTTCATCCTGAGATGAATTGGCCAGTGGTTTAGGGTTTAGGGTTACGTAGGGATTTTGAGTGTTTAGGGTTTCGGGGAGAAAAGACACGGTTTGATAGGCAGCACTGTAGGTGCAGAACAGAACGTGGTCCTAATCCACTCGTTCCTGAAGGATCCCACCCAGACCCATGCGGAAGGCCCTCCTCTCTCAGCCATGCGTCCACAGATTGCTGCAGGGGACAGCCCACGGCTCCAGCTTGATGAAATCTTCTTGTTTGTCGACCTGGGGATGTAGCAAGACGCGCTGCGTGAGCTGCATGCGGGTCGGGGGGGAAGGGGGGGGGGAGAAAGTGGGAAGGTGGGGAAGGTGGGAAAGGTGGGAAAGGTGGGGAAGGTGGGAAAGGTGGGAAAGGTGGGAAAGGAGGGGAAGGTGGGAAAGGTGGGACAGGTGGGAAAGTTGGGAACGTGGGACAGGTGGGAAGGTGGTGAAGGTGGGGAAGGTGGGGAAGGTGGGGAAGGTGGGAAGGTGGCAAAGGTGGGGAAGGTGGGGAAGGTGGGAAGGTGGGGAGGTGGGGAAGGTGGGAAGGTGGGAAGGTGGGGAAGGTGGGGAAGGTGGGGAAGGTGGGGAAGGTGGGGACAGCAAACGCTGGGTGCGCATGCCAGCTGTAGCCTCAAAGTTTGCAACCGCCAAGCGCCCAGGGACAGTGAGGGCTCAGGGTACAGGATGCGATTTAGACTCTTGTTTTGGGCTGTATGTTCAAATAAACCATACCTGCGCGGTTACCTGGGGCCAGGGGAGGCAGTTTGTGTACCCCCCCCCCTGGTGCGTGAGTGTGAGCGTTGGGTCATAGGCTCGGGTTTAGGGTTTAGGGTTTTCAGTTAGGGTTTAGGGTGTCGTGAGTTTAGTGTTGCCTTTTTCTATCATTCATGCATTCTTTGCGTTTTTTCCAATGCTTTCTGGATTTGGGTTCAGGTTTAGTGTTTTGGGATGCACGACCGGCACGCAGGCGCTACACAGCCAAGTAAAGCCAACAATATCTCTAGAACCTTAACACCGAAGCCCCCACACCCTAACCCTACTCCCCAACCCTTAAATTCGCAGAGCCGCCTGCCAGTCAGACATGGTGGCCTGGTTGTGACTCCCTGTCTTGTTCTTCGGAGCAAAGGCCAAGCAAGAGGTTGTGTCCACCTGACATAGGACGGCAGCAATGATCAATATGGCCATGTGCGACTACACTGCAATTAAACACGTTCGGGCTAAAGGCTTAGGGTTTTCAGGGCTTGGGGTTTATGGGAAGGTTCACATGTAGGATGCAGCACTGTAGCGCCCGGATAAATCCAAGATGTCTCTTATCCAGGAGCCAGGCCAACTTTCGCACGTTCTACCAACTAAGTACCTTATATACCCTCTATACATCGCGGATTCGGTAGGGACTCTAATTCCCGAACAAGAATCGTAAGAATCTAGAGTTGACTCTCGGCAGGTCTCAATTCAACCCGACCACCCCCCCCCCCCCGCCCCCTCGTCCCCAAATCCCGAACCCCTCATCTCCCTAAACTCTAAACCCTAAACCCACCTCCTTGCCGTTGAACTGGGTGATGAGCTTCGTGCGGTAGTTTGCGTCGATGGCGCTGACCTTGAAGTTAATCACTTCCTTAGGACCATCGCCCCGCTTGCGCTCCGCCTGAGGAAGGGATGGAAAAAACAAACAGAGCGCTTTAAGGACATATATATATATATATATGCTACCCCCCCCCAGCGACCTACCCTTTTTAGGCCTTTTTAGGCCTTTTTAACAAAAAATAACAAAGAAGGCCCAAACGTCGCGTAGTTAATCACCGGGTAATGAAGGACAGTTACTGGGACACCCACCTCACAGACCCCGATAAGCCAGCATTGGAAGAATCTACATTTTGAATCTGAAGCGGACAATGCTGTTTTTAGATGTTTAGATCAGTGTTTTTCTATGCAAATTGTGCGTTTCAAGGGCAATTAATGTTTTGTTGAGCAACTAACTTATTTATACAGTTGTATTTGTACGAGGCAAAGTATTAATCAAATAGTGAAACATTTTTCTTGGTTCTATGCGAATTTAGCTACTAGAGTAATTATTAAGCAAAGAGCCCAACTTGACTCAAGTGAATACTATTTAAAGGAGCATACTCAACCAAGATACGAAATAAACACCATTCTCAACCAAAAAATGGCAAAGTGTGCGTTTAAAGTGCAAATACTGTATTTATACAATTGTGTTTGTACTAGGCAAAGTATGCTCTCTGAAAAGTCCACTGAAATACCTTATGTTTACATATTCATGAATCGTTTTATTTTTGAAATAATCATTTTATGCGAATTTAGCTACTAGAGTGATTATTAAGTAAATAGTCCAATTTGACTCAAGTGAATACCATTTAAAGGACCATACTTAACCAAATTACGAAAGAAGCACCATATTCAACCAACATATGGCAAAGTGTGGTTTAAAGGGCAAATAGTGCTTTGTTGAGCAACTAATGCATTGAAACAGTTGTGTTTATACCAGGCAAAGTATTATTGAAGTACTATCTGCAAAGTCAAATGAAACACCTTATGTTTACATATTCATGAAACAATTTTTTTGAAGTATTCATTCTATGCGAATTTAACTACTAGAGGAATTCTTAAGCAAATAGCCCAATTTGACTCAAGTGAATACTATTTAAAGGACCATACTTAACCAAATACGAAATAAACACTTGCGGAAATGGAAACGGTTCTACCTACATAACAATGAGACAAAGATTGCTGAAGTATTCACTAAAGACCACTTATATACTATGTCTGAAAAGCACAATTTGCATGAGCAAGCTTAAAAATGCACAATAATGGAAATAGAAGCGTTTCTACTTACATAACGATGAAACAAAGATGTCTGAAGTATTCAATAAAGACCACATATATACTATGCCTGAAAAACGTAACTTGCACAATCAGGCTTAAAAAATGCACAAGAATCCTAGAAAAGTACTTAGTGAAGGCCATACACAAGCAAATTCACAAATACATAAAAACATCCAAAAGCGTAAGCTTTTCAGGAGAATCTCTGGTAAAGTTTGGATTATAGGGTTTTGGGGTATTCCTGGACGAGTAGGAGTCACTTTTTAAGCAAACAACTCTGAGCAATAAATGCTTTTTCTCAAGACAAGTATTGCAAATGCTGCTTCTAGATAATTAATCGCATTTACCAGGCAAATATTATCCATGCGAAATGAGCTACCAGAGCACCAAGTAATGGCTGAATAAGGTCTACCAACCAAAAGATGCACTAAACACTAGCGGCTCTACTTACATAATAACGAAACAAATAGTTCTGAAGCACTAGAAAGACCACTTGTATACTATTTCTGAAAAGCACAATTAGCATACGCACACTTAAAAATGCGTAGTTGTTGCCTCGTGACCGTGAAGGCGAACCAAAAAGCCAAAATACCAAAACCAAAAAACCAAAAACACCAAAACCAAAAAAAACAAAAAAAACAAAACCAAAAAAACAAAAAATACCAAAAAAACCAATTTTCCGGGACTCTCAGGAAATCCCTATGAGGCTTCTCCAAGAGTCCCGGAAAATTGGTTTTTTTGGTGTTTTTGGTTTTTTTGGTTTTGGTTTTTTGTTTTTTTTGGTTTTGTTTTTTTTTTGTTTTTTTGGTTTTGGTTTTTTGGTTTTTTTGGTTTTGGTATTTTTGGTTTTTCTACTGTCCCGTGTATGCGATTTTAATTGTATTTTAGTCTACGCCCTAGGAAATACGCTATATTGCACACCGAGTTTGCTTGCAGTGCAGCTGGGTGACTTGAGACAAGGCGAAAAAGGGTAGGTCACTGGGGGGGGGGGGGTACCATATATATATATATATATAGATAGTTTTTAGGGAGGTAGTTTAGGGTGTACAGGGTTTATGGCATAGCCTACGTTTCGGGTTGACCGGTATTTCGTTTGGAGACGATGGAAGGTTGGAGCCTCCTCCTGCAGTGCAGAGCTCTCCGAGCGGTTCTCCTTGGGCTTCAGCGACGCCGGAGCGCGCTGCGTATGCGTTTGGATCATGAGGCTCCTCAGCTTCGCACAATGAGATGGGGGTCTCCGAACATGCGGGTAGTAAGGACTATGCTACCTTGTATGGGGTCCCCGAACTATCTGGGAAAATGCATGGAAAATGCCCATATCGACAGATCTACCAAGGCCCCTAGACACATCCCGGAATCCCAGGCTCTTGCCCGAGTGGTGAAGCGTTGGTGGGGCGCCCGCAGCTGGGAACTCGGAGGTGACTGCCTGGCTCGAAACTATGGTTTTAGGGTTTAGGGTTTAGGGTTTGACACTCCAGCCCCCCGGCAGGGATGATGGAAAGACACCAAGAGAAGTTGCCTCCAATTTCGACAGCCCTGCCTAGCGTCAAAGCGATAACTTGAACTGACTCCGAAGGCTACCATAAGGTGACCGCAAACCCTAAACCCCTAGAAGCCCCAAAGCCCCACAGATCCTATAAACCCTGCAAACCGTAAAGCCTTTCAACTACCATCCGAAAGCCTTTGCCTTGAACCCTAAACCCGAACCGAACAAACCTCATAAACCCTAAACTCTCGACCCAAGCTTCACAAGGCCTCCTGCACCAGCGACTGGCCATCCGCTAAAACCTCAGGGGAGGAAACGTTCAGGGCCTAAGCGTGAGGGCTAGTGCAAAGTCGTGGAAAGCCCTAATCTCACACACCAGCCCCCCCCCCTGAAATTTGCCAGCGACCGCCTGCTTCACCACTGCGGATGCAACCCTGGCGAAGACAAGAATGAACTCCGTGAGAACGTCACTCAAACGATTCAAGAAGTTCAATGGGGGCACATTCTCAATGATCTTGTTGCCGAAGCATTTGAGAACTTCACCGGGTGAGCCAATGGTGGCGCAATTCACGAGCTCCTTTCCCATGGTGAAGAGCGCCTTGACCGAGGTGATGCCGAACTCTGCGACTGTCTTTATTGGTTCGGGCCAGCTGAGGTCAGTCGTTCCAAAGTTGAAGTCGAAGAGGTTGCACGTCTGCCCCATGAGCCGGACCCAGCACTTCTGCCGGCCCCAGTTCACGTTAAGGCCACTTGCATCGATCCTCATGGACGGCCAGCTGCTCTCATCGCAACCAGCATTCCAGTCCGTGAAGCCTCGGATCAGAATGTCAACAGCCATTTCCACAGAGTCGATGACGGTCGTTGCAACGAATGAAACCTGGTCTGCGGCAGCCTCGTAGGCATCGCCTTTGCAGACATGTGCGTTCCGTTGGTCATTGCCGCTTTCCCCCATGCAATGCTCTTTGTTTAGGCTCAAGTCTTAGGACGGTTTTCTGCCAACCACTACCCCAGCATGAGCAACGTAAACTTGACCGTCCCTTTCGCAGGATGAAACTACAGACCGCTCATGCTCACACGAAGTGACCATGCGAACATCAGGCAAAGCTCAGTGGAAAACATGTACAAGTACAGCCCCCCGATCCCCCGCCTAAAGCATCGCCCACCATGCCGGTGCCGTCCGTGATGGCTCCACCGACATCTTCAGCGACTGACACAAAGGGATCCACCCACTTGGAAGCGACCACATCGTCCAAAGCTGTGTCATTGGAATTTGCCTTCCTGGACTTGGCTTGTTTGGACTGCTTCTGCTGGCGCTGGATAAGTTGCTCCTTGACACCTTCAGGACCTGATTGCTGGGACGGCTTTGAAGCGGCTCTGTGCTTGGATGATGGCGTCACGAACTCACGATTGTCCCTCTGGTGGTTGTGCTTCTGCAAGACTCTCTTCAAGACCTCGTGCGCGTGGGAGGCCTTGGCTTCTTCCTTGGCTTTCATCTCTGCAAGGCTTGCGTTCTTCTTCGCGCAGCCACACGCCTTCAGCTCATTGAGCTCGACTTGCTGCAGCTCGACAATGGTTTCCTGAGCAGTTCGGGGCCACGGGCCCCTGTCTTCTACCTAACGCAGCCCAAGATTGCAGCTTATATGCGTAAAGTTCTGTTACTCTGTTACCCCGATGTTCTTAGCACTTCATTAAAACACGGCCCAGCAACGAGCTGCGCCAACTTGAGCATCATGAACTCAAGGTTCGCACCCAATTGCCCAAGGCCGTGCCGCCCTTGCGTGTCATTGGTCACGTTATCCAAATCCGGGAATTTGTTGGCCTCTGCGAAGTCGTGCTCCAAGTTCCGCACGATGATGTTCTCCAAGCTGGCATTCGTGGAGTTTCCGTGGCTGCTGACGTTGGCCCCTTCCGTCATGTCAATGGGGATCTCCGTCTCCACGGTTGCGGTCTCCGCCTTCACCGCCAAGAGAGACGGCGCGACGGCTGCAGCGGCTGCAGTGGCTCCAGCTTCACAGCTCTCTACAGGAGCCTGAGCGAAGGCAAGAGCCACCATTGAAAGGCCACATAGCCAAGCGGTTTTGGGGTAACCCACGATCATCATCGTGACCGCCAGGTTTAAAGTTGAAACAGTGTCCGGGTTTGAGCCGAGACTGGGTCATGCTGATGCTCAACAACATGTACCTACATTTTGGCGGAAACCAGGTTCGTGAGAATTCCCGGAAGTTCATTCAAACTGTTCAAGTGCGACGCTCGTAGACGAAACACAGTAGGAGCGACATGGAAAATTAATGTATATGAATGATGCTCAGATATTCTTGCATTTCTATCCGTTTATGTACCGGAATTTCCCCCAATCCCAAACCCTGCCAATTATCCATCGAAACCATGAACACAAGGGGCGTGCAGAAATGCTCCCGCGGCGGCAAGCAAAGCAGACAAAGATCTAAACATCTAATCGCGGACTTAGGAAGAGAGAAACAGAGAAAGAGAGAGGCATGAAGAGACAGTGGCAGAGAGGTCTAGAGTCCAAAAATGCAATTTTTGCAGAGACATACCGAGCAAAAGAAAGAGAAAGAAAGACTTAGCGAGACAATGAAAGAGAAAAGGAAAGCCGGATATACCACTTTGACGTAGAGAGATAATCAGAGAGAAACAGACTCCGAATATACCACTGTCAAAACAAGAGAGAGAGAGAGAGAGAGAGAGAGAGAGGAGAGAGAGAGAGAGAGAGAAAGAGACAGTGAGAGAGCGAGAAACACTGAACCCTGATGTCTCCTTCACGTCAGAGAGGCAATGAGAGAGAGCGAGAGAGAGAGAGAGAGAGAGAGAGAGTGAGAAAAAAACCTGGATGCAGGCTTTCACATCAAAGAGACAACGAGAGCGAGGGAAGCAGAACACGGATATATCGATGTCGCATCACGTCAGAAAAACAATGAGAGAGAAACAGAACTGTGGACCAAATGGTCTGGACAGCTTGTCTTTCCGGGCATTTTCACGCAAATGGTCCAGGCAATGTTTGTGAAACATCCTGAAAGTTTCAAGACTTCGTGAAATCTCATCGTCAATTCGTGAAATTTCTCGTATTTTCATTCGAACCTGGACTATTTCCGGAAATGTCATGGAATCGGCCACCATTTCCCCTGTGACATCAAACAGAGTACATGGACCCTCTAAGTCTTAATTCAGCCCCCAAACCTACAGCCAACACGTTCCAGACTGCTGGCACGTCTTTTTTTTCTTCAAGGCTGTGGGCATGTCGAGGACTGGAGTTCCAGGTTTTGCTGGAGCTGTTCCTGCGCAGAAGGTTTCCGGTTTTGGGCGTTTGGGGCTTCAGCAGTGGGGGGTTGTTCTGAATTCGGGCTCCCTGCAAGTAAAGATCTCTGTCGTAATCGGACTTCGTACGGAAAAGTACAACCCCTTGTTGGGGATTTAGAGTTAACAAGGTGTGAAACCTGCGGAAGACGACCTGCAAACCGCTTCTAACATCACATGGAGGTTTTGTTCAAGTGCTTTTTGGTTTCGGGAACTGGGGTTGAGGGCCCTAAGCGTAAAGAGAGCCCGAACCTCTTTTTGGTGCTTTTATGACCTTTGTGTTTCTGCACTAAACCCTAAACCCTACACCCGACACCCTAAGCCCTAAACCCCACATGATGCCAAGTTTTCTCGCCTAAGGCTCGACCGCGCCCATCCCGGTAATTTGGCGGCGAACACGAGGCGCTTGCCGCTAAACCCGGTCCCTTCCTCAAGGCTCCTATGTAGCAGCTATTGGGGTAGTATACTAGAACCCCCTATAACTAACCCCAAAAAGGAACTGCATAGGAGCCTTCAGCTCACCCTCAACCCGGATTCCTGAATCCTGTAAACACAAAATATCAATACAAGTACAAGTACCAGTATCAAACTATACACATGTAAACACACACACACACATGCACATCTGTACAAGTATCTGTACATGTATATATACCAGTCTACACACATACCGTACATACCCGAACCCCCAGACTCCGTTCTATGCCTGCACGGCGGCCAGGAGCGCTGCTCTTTCCGCATCGGGGTCCGGTGCGAGGCGAACCGGACCGCACCTCTGAGGTAACGAGGAGTTGGGGTCACCGTAAGATACATGAGGGGGGTGAGTTTCTAGAATCTCGCAGGTCTGGCTTCAAGCTGAAGGGTGGGGGGGGGCTTCAGAAGGGTGGGGCTGAGGGTTCTTCATGCGGGAGGTTTGGGCTTTGGCCATGGAAGTTTCGGGACTTTGGGGATTCCTTTGCTGGCAGAGCTAGGAGCAAGGAGGGTCCGATGCCCTCAACCCCTTACAGCCAGCCCCCCCCCCCCCCCCGGCCCCTCCCGACTTCTTGTGCAAGTGAAGTTAAGGGCACCACAAAGTGATGAGCCCTAACTCCCGGAGCCTCAGCCCCAAGCAGCACAAACTTGCTTTAAGTCTGGCTGCTGTGGAATCGACTCGAGCCCGGTGAGCGCAAGGCGATGGAGCAGCCCTGACAGAGTTTAGGGTTTAGGGGGATTAGGGTTTAGGGGCTTTAGGACTTAGGGCTTTTGGGTTGGGCTTTCGGAATTTGCTCAGGATTAACGGTTAGGTGGGTCCACACTCACACGCCTGCTTTGTGAGAGTAGCTTGCGTTCAAGCTCGACTACGCTCTGCTGCGTCCCATTGATTCATTGGTGCAGGCTGGCCGGCATGAGCCAAGGATCCCACTCAACAAACCCAGCTGGATGCTTTTGAAGCTGTCACGCGTGGGCCCAAGTCAATGGTTCCCATTGCACATCCAAAGGCATGGGCAGATTCACTCCAGGCGCCTGCTTCTTGCCTTTTTCAATCCATGAGTGAGCCTACTCGTTACCTCTTAAGGAAGCTCCCTATGTCCCATACAAGGCCTCCAAACTCCAAAGCCTACGCTTAGCGCGCCTCGCAAAGCGTCGCTGCGCGCCGCCACCGACCCCCGCAACGTCCGCTCGCCTTCTTGAGCCTGCCGCAGCTCCTGAGCCAAGGCTTTAGGTTTCCGGGCTTTAAGCCCAAGGCCGACATGTTGAATCTTGAAATGAACCGCAAACTCTAAACTCTAAACGTCCTGACCTGAAGCTCGAAACCAGGCCCGTAACCTCCGGAGCACAAACGACATTCGCGCACGCCTTTCGCAAAACGGGCTCAAGACTTAGTATATCGGACACTCGGGAACTTTGAACTACGGACTGTGGGATTCCTGCGGCAGTCCTTACGGACCCATCATTCTGAGCCTGCAACCCTGCAGCCCTCATGTTGAAAGCCTAGTTCGGGTTTCACAGCTGAAGGCTTCAAGCTTCCAGGGTTTGGGGCATTCAATACTCCTTGCCCTCACGAAGGTCCATGCACGTGGACATAAGCCGGGTATGCTTGGGCTTTGAAGAAACTTGAATAGAGACCTTGGGCTCATATATGTCTACTATAGATGTACATGGACCCGAAAAGTTGAGTGGCCATAAACCCTTAAATTCCCACCCGCCCTCTTCCAGGGTGCCTGGCAGAGCTACACCGCTGCCGTTCACACCATTGCTTGGAAGTACTGTGAAAGCCTCAAGAGTATGGCTCTTAGAGCGTGGGCCCCAGCGGTCTGAGATCTTCTGGAAGCAAACGACAGGCAGCCAGTTCAGCCCAGGATTTTTGGAGACCCTTGAAGAGCGCCCCGTGCACATCCCCCGCAGGCCCCGCCTGGGCATAAGCCCGAAACCCGAGAAGGAATCATGTTGGGTGGGCTCATGCCAGAGTAAGAGCCAACACGCCGCAGTGGCTGTTGGTAGCTTGGTCAACAACATGTCGTCGCGAAATATGCCACCCACCCCAACGCACACCCTTGGTGTGTGCTTGGGGGCATTTCCACATGGTCCCTGGCACTGTGTTGGCGAGACGCCCCTATACCTTCGTCCACGAACTTACGGGCTATACAAAAGCATTCAGAGATGTTGAGCTTCAGAGGACTGAGCCCTAAACCCCAACCCCTAAACCCTATAAGCCCGAAACCCTGAACCCTAAACCCTAAACCCGCTGAAGAAGGCCGGGGCGCCCTCCGAAGCGCTCGGGCGTGCTGCGTGAGGTCACGGAGTCGGTGGCGGAAGAGGCCCTGGCCAGGGGCAGCTTCCCTCAATTCGGGCCTCTTGGGGTTCGGGGTTTCAGTTTAGGGCTTAAGGCTTATAAGGTTTAGGGTTTAGGGTTTAAGGCTTATAAGGTTGGGGATTGGGGGGAGCGAACATAGTCCGGTGTAGTCTAGAGAACTGAGCCCTGTTGGGAGGTCAGTGGCATTCGAAAACAACCCTAAATTCTGAAACCGAAACCTTAAACCTGGCTCTGTCCGCACGTCTGGCCGTTTATTTCGTTATTCTTTACGAGGTTTTCTAAACGGGTTCATGATGGCGACGAAGTGGTTGTGTGGGTGCGCGTGCTATAAATTTCGCGGAACTCACTGTCATGGTTTCGGTAGCGAGAGCTACACGGATGTCAGAGGCAGAGGCATCCTATTGAACATACCTTTGCGCTTCTGCTCTGAGCGCTCGCTGTGTAACGTCCTCATCCTCGTTGCGCCGGCGTGCGCTGGTAACATGGAACGTCGTCATCGTGCAAACATGGGTGCTCTGGCCATTTCGCTCTCAGGCACTCCCACAGCGAAGCCAATTTTCGAGCCTGAAAAAGCCCGGGAAACCTCAGTCTGCATGGGCTTTCAGGGCAGCGAAACGCGTGGCCGGAGGGCACAAACCCTAGCCAGAGTGGCCTCTGAGGCTTCCAGGACCTCGCTGTTGCAGGGCGGCTCCACCTGTGTCGGAAAAAAGGGGAAGATAGGCGTTCGGGTTCAGGGCTACAGGGCTTGAGTTTGTTTGCTTTCTTTGGGCTTGAAGCTCAACTTGGGGCTTAGGATGCTCCCACTTATGATAGCCGCCGTTGATAGGGATTCGACTCGCGGGGGTAGTCGCAATTGCCCTAGTGTGGCAAATTCATTGTTTGTGGGGCTTATGAGGCTCAGAGCTTCCGAGTTTGTAGCGTTGTGGACTGCGGGCTCGGGCTTGTACAGTTCAGGGTTTGTAGGGGTAGGGGATCAAAAAAAAAATTATTTGGGATCAAAAAATAATTTAAGTCTAGGCGGATCAAAAAAACTTATTTGGGATCAAAAAATAATTTAAAGCAAGCATGCCTTTCCTTTCATTTCACTTCATTTCCTTTCCTTCCTTCCTTGCTTCCTGGCTTCCTTGCTTTCTTGCTTCCTTGCTTCCTTGCTTGCTTGCTTCCTTCCTTCCTTCCTGCCTGCCTTCCTTCCTCCTTTTCTCCCACTCTCCCTCCCCTTCCCTCTCTCCGTCAGAAGAACAGAAATATTTATTTCTTGATCCTAAATAAATTTTTTTGATCCTAAATAAATTTTTCTTGATCCTAAATAATTTTTTTTTGATCCGCATCCCGGTTTGTAGGGTTTATTGGGCTTATAAGGTTTAGAGGGTGTATAGGGTTTAGGGCTGCAGGAAGCAATGTGGACATTTGCAAGCAACGAGCGCACATCCCACCTCAACAAATCCCGTCAGCACGAAACCAGAATCTCCTCGAGCCCCCAACAGAAACCTCCCTGACCACCCCTAAACCCTAAACCCTAAACCCTAAACCCTAAACCCTAAACCCTAAACCCTAAACCCTAAACCCAAAACCCTAAACCCTAAACTGAGTGAGCCCGGAGCCGTCGAGCAGGGCGAACGCACCGAAGCCGGCAGGCGAGGTAGCTCCGGAGCCAGAAGCCCTCCGGCGGGCGACGTCCCGCAGGCAGCTGCGGGCTGCGCGGTGGACCGACAGGTCGCTGAGAAACCCGTCAGGTCGCCCCTAGACCGGTTCAGGCAGAAGGCGCTGTCTGGGAGGCCCCTGCCTCCCGAGAGGCCCTGCCTGGGAGGCCCCCCCCTGGGAGGCCCCTGCCTGGGACCCCCTGTTTGGGAGGCCTTTGAGAGGTTTCTAGAACGCCCTGCCTGCTGCCTGGGCCCTCTGAAGCTTTCAAGCAAGGGATCCAGATCCCCAACCGGGACGCAGCATCACCAAGAACGAATGCGGCAGCCAGCCCCAAGCCCAAACCTTCGAATTTTTGAGAAAGACTCACTGGGAGGCCCCCTGCCTGGGAGGCCCCCTGCCTAGCACTGTTAGTCCTGCTTGCCGGAAACCTTTTGCCTGAACCTGAAAAGCAGGCTTTCAAGCAAGGGACCCAGATCCCCAACCAGGACGCAGTATCACCAAGGGCGAATGCGGCAGTCAGCCCCAAGCCCAAAATTTTGGGTTTTTGAGAAAGACTCACTGGGAGGCTGTCAGGCCCCTTGTCTGGGAGGCCCCCCCCTGCCTGGGACTGGGAAGATCTCCTGCTTGCCGACCTTTTGCATGAACCTGAAGGATCCCCAACCAGGACGCAGCATCACCAAGAGCGAATGCGGCAGCCACAGCCCAAACCTTCGGGTTTTTGAGAAAGGCTCACTGGGAGGCCCCCTGCCTGGGACTGGGAGGATCTCCTCAACAACCATTAGAAAAGACAAAAACAACAAAAGTTGCAACATCAGCATGGCGAAAGCCCAAACCTCTAATTTCACTCCCTTCCAAGCAAGTTTTCCGAATCGCCGCCCAGCACGCAGCATCGCCGAGGGCGAAGGCGCCAGCCAACCCCAAGCCCAAACCTCTGACTTTTGGCTCTCCCAGCAGCCCTCGACTGATAGACATCTCCCTTGCAATGCCTAGCGGCTACGAACTTCAGGGTAGTTGATCTGCATCGATGCCGAGCTTCAACCCAATAGACAAGAGAAAAACAACAAAAGCACGATCAGAGTTCAAAAGAACCCTAAACCCGTAGAGGTTAAGGCGAGGGTGGAGCGCCAGCGCGGGTGGGCTTATGCAAATCGGGGCGCGCGCCTGGGTGCTCTCAGCACCAGCGCGCCCACTCATTGAGACACCCTAAACCCTAAACCCTAAACCCTAAACCCTAAACCCTAAACCCTAAACCCTAAACCCTAAACCCTAAACCCTAAACCCTAAACCCTAAACCCTAAACCCTAAACCCTAAACCCTAAACCCTAAACCCTAACCACAAGCCCGGGGTTTAGGGTTTAAGGTTTTCAGCCCACCTTCGTTGCACCTCGCAACGCCGATCGCAGGCGCTGCCTATGCGCAGCTGAAGGCTGATCCTAAACTCTAAGAAGACACAGGGTATGAAGACAGATTTTACAAAACAAAAACCCTAGCGATAGTAAACCTGGGAGAACTAGGGCGCCAGGCTCTAGGGGTTTCAAGGCAAATGTAGGTTCATAGGGTGTGTGTGTGTGTAGATTTATGGGGTTGAGTATAAGGCCCCTGAACCTTGCAGAGGTTTTGGTTTTAGGCTGCGAACACCCTCAGCACATAAGCCCATCAAGCCTCGACCTCTGTACATGGGACTCTGTTTTCCTGCAACTTGATGAGATATGCTAAGCCCTAAACCCTAAACCCTAAACCCTAAACCCTAGACCCTGAACTCTAGGAGCCTTAGCTGGCCGAAGTCGGCAGGCTCGGCGCGCTTCCGCTGCTGCTCCTGGTGGGGCAGTTCGAGGGGGCATCGACTGCACATACTGGAATCATACGAATCATATGCTCCATCTAGGAGCTACCGATATACCATGATATATCATATAGGCTACTTGATTCAGTATATTGACAAAGAGTTTAGGGAGTCTTGGGGTTAGGGATGTAGATCTATAGGACTTGGGGTTTCCAAGAATCTGCCCGAAGCCTGTTCGAGCTCCGCCACCTCCCTTTGCAGCGAGGTCAGCCGCTGAAGTCCTTCATCCGCATGGACAAAAGCCCACAGACAAACAATAACCGAAACGTCCCCAAAACCTGTCACCACTACTATACCAACCCAGGCAGGCTCAGCTGTCTTGGGGTGACGAAGGGGAAGCTTCAACCCAAGCGCGAACCTCCGAATCGGAGGCCATGGGGTCACAGCTTGGGCGCTGCGAATCGTGGACTCCAGTTTTAGGAAGTTGCAGAGGGTAAGAGATGTGAATCTTCGGCGTTGGGGGTTCGGACTTCAGGGCTTCGAGGCTTTAGGGTTTGGGGGTTTTAGGGGCTGAGGGTTTGGGAAGTGGAAAGCTGGCCAATCATAAACGAGCAAGGGCTAGTATGTTGGCTTCCGATCCGCGTCAAAAAAAGTAGACAAGTGCGGGCAGGCTGCCACACCTAGTCAGAATCATGATACGGCCCAAACCCTAAACCCTAAACCCTAAACCCTAAACCCTAAACAATAAACCCTAAACCCTAAACCCCCCACTTTAAACCCCAGAACCCCTGAAGCTCAGTGGTCCGGCGGAGAGCGCCGCCGCCGTGGTCTCCCTCTCGGAGCTCAACCGCTCCCAGTCGATCGCCTCAGCGTTCTGGGGTTTGCGTGGTTTTGGGCGCCAGGGTTTAGGGTTTAGGGTTTAAGGTTTAAGGGTTAAGGGTTTAGGGTTTAGGGTTTAGGAGGGTTTGGTGTTTGCGGTTTAGGGTTTAGGGAGAGGTCGTAGGGTTAAAAGGGCCTGGGGATTCTTAGCCAGGAGAAACACTTCCACTTCTCCCCTGATGAGGGTACTTGGGAGTCTTGATGACCTGCCCATGGCCAAAGCTACTCTCAGTTTATGCAAATACCCCGAGTGCCAGGGCAAAACCCAAGTCTCACCCTAAGAGGCTCAAATCTGCAAAACGCACTTCAAAGATCCGCAAATAGTAGGATTCCCATATAACCAGACCCCCAATAAGGTACGCCTCATTTAGGACACCCCCACATGGGACAACGAGAGGATAGCCGGGGTGCTGAGGCACCAATGGGCGACTCGGCCAGGAGAGTGGGAGGTGGTTCCTACACGGCATCTGAACACTCAAATGCCCAAATGGGGGTTTCGGAAAGTAGGGGGTACTTTATAGGGGTCCTTATTATCCTACCATTTTGGGGGTATTTTAGAGGTCCCCTATTTTCGAAAAGTCCCAAATCTGTTTCAGAGCACTGAAGGACGAGAACTTCAGCGGAGTGTATGGTAGAGCCCGATAGGGCTGATAGAGCCTCCTGGCCCAAGCATGGCAAGGAGGATTGGAGCCCACTCGTACATTGATGCCCTTCAGTTCACGAAGCTTGCAAAGGCCTGAACAGGATAGCTGCAGGCTGCAGCATCGATCCGATGCCAAAACAAATGCATGCCGAGAAACGATCTAACAACAAGAAACCTACGGCACACACGCGCAAAATCAGAGAGAGAGAGAGAGAGAGATAGAGAGCAAAAAAAACAAAAACACGAACGCTCTTGGCTGCGGGGTCCTCCTCGTGCTCTTCTGCCTCCTTGGAGTTTCAGGAAACCCTAAACATGTCCCAGACACCTAGACGTGAAGAATCATGGGATCACTGGGCTTCGTTCGGGCTGTTTCGGGACCACTCACATCTCCCGATTCGCTGACGCATCGTTGTGCTGTGTTTGACTTGCTTGACTTACTTGTTCGCTTTCGGGCTTGTAGGGCTTGGGGCAAGAGTTGGGGAGGCAGCAGCATCCAACAGCCTGCAAGCCGCAAAGAAAACACCGCTTTACATGGGCACCGCCCTGAAACCTCAACCCCAAGCTGTCCCAACTGTGGGCAAACACATCTCAAAGCGCAGGTCCGAACCCCCATGAAGCTTTGGAACACAGGCTCAGCCCCCAGGCACCCCAAGCTTAAGCCCATTTTTGGTGGTGACTGCATCGAGGAGCCCAAAAAACGAAGACACCGCCTTGCTAGTTAAAAAGGCCGGCCTCCTCCTCTTCCTCTCCCTCTTCCTCGGCGACAGCCAGGCGGGCCTCATTGGCCCGAAAGGCTTCCTGGAGTGCCTTGCGCGTGGGAGAAGCACAGGAGTTGCTACGGTTGAGTTTGCGGACTCGTGCTGAGGGATCGTTCGGCTTGGGGGGAGTTTAGGGAAACTTGCGAGGGCCGGCCAGGATTATTGTGCTCGCGCTGCACGCCACCCCTTGCAGGCCTCGACCTCGGCGCGCGCCTGGCGACGGCGTTGTGCTGCCTTGCCAAGGCGGTGGGGCGTAGGTTTGGGAATCGGGTTTAGGGGAGCCAAGACATGTATGTTGAAGAGATTTGGGCCATGGGGTTACGATGTTTTCGAAGGGACAGTCGCGAAGCATCCGCTGGGAGGCAAGACTACAGCCTGACTACAGCTACCAACCTTAATATGGCCGTCACCGATGCTGTCTGCGGATTCGACGTGATAATGCACACACCTGCCGCCACTTAGCTGGCTTCATGCATGTCCTCAGCGGCCACATCTCGCTGGATCTTCTGTACCACGTCTGCCGCACAAGGCAGCTTGGGGTCGAAAGGCGCTCCTAGGCTCTGGAGTTCGCCACGGGCAACTGCAGCCTTGAAACACAGCACGCGCTGTGTGCACAAAAGATTGAAGTCGGCAGGCCAAAGCCATGTGCAAGATCAGCTCAGAAACCTTTATAACACTCCTTCCCCAGCGTACACGTAACGAGAGAATGGCATCCTTGTCTCGTAGAGCCAGCAGTTCTCAACATCCACATCCCTGAGCTCCGAGTTTCAATGTTTCGGGTCTATTTTGATGTTGGCAGGAGTATTGCAATTAGGGCGGTAGGTTTTCCGTGCACGTGGAAAGCAAGGTGGACAGTCACAAGTCACCTCGGTCAAGTACACAGACTAAAACGCCCTCAAACCTTCCACCCGAACCCCCCTAAACCCTAAACCCCCCTAAACCCTACAGTAAACCCTGAAACCCAGACCCTAAACCCTAAACCCTAAACCCCAAAACACCCTAAACCCTAAACCCTAAACCCTAAAACACCCTAAACCCTAAACCCTAAACCCCAAACGCCCAAACGCCATGAGCCCCACTTAAGTTGGCCTCTTCGCTGGCCATGGCCGCAGTTTCCCGAGCCGAGGAGCACCGCTCGCGCTCCTGCCCCGCCTCGTAGCTTATTATAGTTTATTAGAGTTCATTACAGTTCATTATAGCGAATTAGAGTTCATTATAGTTCATTATAGCTGATTAGAGTTCATTATAGTTCATTATAGCGAATTGGAGTTCATTATAGTTCATTATAGATAATTAGAGTTCATTAAAGTTCATTATAGCGAATTAGAGTTCATTATAGTTCATTACAGCGAGTTGGAGTTCATTATAGTTCATTGTGGCTAAGTAGAGTTCATTATCGCTCATTATAGCTTGCTATAGTGTATTGTGGTCTATTTCGCGTATCTAGGGGTTGTCGGGCTTGGGGATGCTTAGGGCTTAGGATGGTGTAGGGCGCGTTAAGCGCATGTTAAGCGCCTAGGAGTTTACGGTTGCATCCTTTGGCGCTGTAGTGCTTTTGGTTTGCCAATGCTGCAGTGAAAGTATCGGGGATGTGGGGCTTCGGGCTTCTGACTTAAAGCTCAGCTTAGTGCGCACTTGGGCACACCTACGTTGAAAAGTTGAGGCCCTCTTCTCAATCGCGAGACCCTAGGCCCTAGACAATATATATTCCACCAATACCTCGCTAAACGCACCAGACCCCAAGCAATGGAAAGCCAAGAGGCTATCTTCTGCAGCTGAGCCAGCACGGACCTTTCTGAGGGTTTGTCTGGCCCGCTCATCGCAAACGGTTTGTTAAACAAACGACCAGCACAGGGCACAAGACATAATCCTACTAGCTCTCAGCAGGGACCTATGTAGGGAGCTGGGTATTTACCAGAGAAAGGGATTACTGGACCTACTTCCGATGGACCTGATTCCCCCCCTTCCCCAGCCGAAAATCTTTCATCAGACCTCGACCCCTGCAGCAACTCCTCAAACCCAAACCCGAAACACGCATTGCCCGGCGACTGCATCTCGAATGACTGGAGCAGGTAGGCGCCGATGTGGCTCAGCTGCGCAGACAGCTCCTCCATGTGAGGAAATAGTAGGATTCACGTATAAGAAGGACAGCAATACAAGTAAGGCACCCCCCCCCCCCCCACCCCACACCATGTGAGGGATTCTGTGCAAGAGTGTTGGGTCGGCTTGCGTCAGCTCTGTCGGAACGTTGGCATGATCAGGGCTTCCAACATGCAACCGAGCAACTTTAATGTAGGGGTCGGATTAGTTGCTATTGGTAGCTGCCTTTGGTCCCTATACAATCATAGTTGCTACTAGCAACTACTTATGGTCCCTATACAGTCATACCAGAATAACCCCCCAGAGCCTTATGTTCTAATTATTCTGGCCCCCAGATAGTATCCAACCCTAAACCCTGAACCCCAAATCCTAAACCCTAAACCCTAAACCTCTCTCCTGGAGTTGCTGGGCGGAGCTCGCATTGGCTTCATTCAAGCACTCCCACTCCTGTCAGAGCACATGGGGGGGGGGCTTCATAAAAAAGGAGTCGCCCCACATGGCTGCTCTTAAGCTGCGCCTCGTTGGTTTTAAGGCTGGGGTGGGAATGGGTCCTTTGTTGAAGCCTGCACCCCTGGCGCTTCAAGTACTGGTCCATGCTTGCAGCTTTCGGTCTTCTCGGTCTTTGCCAGGGCTTTAGTAGGGACCTTATAGGGCCTAGGCCCTTTTGTCCCAAGCTGTCGGCGCCTGCTGCGACAATGTGACGCTGCCTGCATCCTTCGGTGACTCGGCCGCTGCCGCTGCCTGCACCGCCTCGCAGGAGAACCCACGAACTGTATCGGGAGATTCGGGGGTCCGTGGCAACCAGGGCTTGACTTCATAGTGCCCCGACAGTCTCAATCTTCCAGCAACTCCCAAGCCTCCGAAAAGGAAGCATGGGGGAACAGGGGGCGAATGAGTGGTCTCCCAACGTCTAACCAACTGGTAGCAGTTCTTTGCCGCCACGGGCCTCAACTGGTGCCTCCTCAGCCACAGCCCGGATCAGAAGGCGACCGTCCTTCAGGGCCGATGGCTGTAGAGCTTTGGCATAGGGGTACGCAGAGCATGGGGTTTGGTTTCGGAGCTCCGGGGTGCGCATTTAGTGTTCCTCTTTTAAGGCGTCAGATGGGTTCAGACTTGAGGTCAAGAGGTTTGGAGGAATGGGTGTGCTGCGGCCTCAGTGGATGCAGGGAAGCCGCTTCTCAACACCATGTTAGGGTGTTGAAATGACTCATGAAGTTTTGGGAACGATTCTTCATAGACCTGCTCCCACACACTACAGTGGTTTTCGAGCCTTGCCCTGGACTTTGACGCCCTTAAACCCAAAACCTCTGCAGATACTGCAATAACAATCATCATCATAGTAATGGCAAGAATAGCGATAATACTCATGGCAAGAATAAGAACAATCGTAATAATGATAAGAATACGAATTCTGCCGAGTCCTTGGAGGACGCACTGATCCATCCGACGAGTCCCCGCGCCTTTCTGTGCTTCGAGCTCTTGATCGAAGACAAAGCCCGGGATGCGACTACACTTTCGAAACTTCTTGAACCCTAAACCGCCTAAGCCCCAAACCCTCAACCCAAACCTTTTCTAGGTATTGAACCCTACTTGGGACCCTAGCCCTACGAAGTTTAGGCTTCGGACCTTGACAGTTTAGCTTCAGGACCAGGGCTTCCGGGCAGGCAATGCTGCGGTCGGGGGGGCTTCCGGGGGAACACTGAGAGAGGGGGGGGGGGGGGGGGTTGGACCCAAACGGGGGGGGGGGGGGGGTGTTGGACCCAAACCCAAACCAAAGAGGCCTCCCAAGTAAAAAGTGCTAACTAACAAAGCTACAGTTGCAGGGACACTCCGACAGAAGAGTCTCTCTGTTTCAGTGTGCCGCGCCTCGCTTACAGCAAAAAGTGTATCCCTTTCTCAAAGAGCAGAGCATATGAAGGGTGCTGCTACCCGAGAAACATGGATCTCAGCCAGCCTTGGGCGCGTCCTCGGCAGAACCCGGGGCTTCTGCAGGCGCGTGGACGATCCTCGGCTTTTTGGGTCTTAGGATGTCTTAGGGCGTTCAGGATTTCGGGTTCCGGGTGTATATAATGCATAGGGCGTAGGCGTGAGCCTCAAGATTTCAGGGTTCAGGGTCTGGTGTTTGTGGGCTCCCAGGCTCCAAGGTCCATCAAACAGCTTCAGGGTTTGAGGGCTCCGGGGTCCAAGGCTCCCCTGCTTCTCGTGTGACGGCTCAGCTATAAGATCAGAGCCGCGTAGACAGAACCCATGAGCCCATACAGCGCGAGATTCAAGCCTCTGAAATGCCAGCCTTTAGAGGATGCATTCAATGGCATCTGGAACCGTACCCTGTGCTGAAGAAAGTGCTTCTGTAACATTGGCAGCTTGAACAGACAAGGCACTCCACCCTCCGTGGATACTTGCGCGAGGTCGCGACGACCTGGCAGTGACAGGGGCCCGGGGGGGTTGGTTTACAGAGACTCTGCGTCTAAGTCCTGAGTGGGAAGACCTAGCTGAACCCTTGGAGAGCACAAAGGCGCTGTAAAGTGTTCCCGCGCTTGGAGGGTGCAGCTAAGCTCGATGTTGTCCCCATTGTTGTTGCGCGATCATGGCGGGTGGCCCAGTCCCTTGGCCCCAAGATGGCACAACACTCTTACCGGGGGTTCTAGATGCTGGTTCGCATAGCAAAGGAGCTGCCTTCTGGGGCGGGGATGGTTTCACGTGCAAGCGGAAAGCACAAGACCTTGGAGCCTGCTTGCTTGTTCAACAGGCAAGGCTTAGCAAAGCTCTCTGCAAAGTTTGTAGCCTGGAGACAGGGCTCCTCACACAGAAGCGTATTGATGGACCATGCTTGCTCGCGGTGTTGTCTAGGGTCCCTAAACCCTAAACCCTAAACCCTAAGCCCTTTCTAGGGATAGGGGGCTTACCTTTGGGCTCAGAGAATCTTGAGGAATCTTGAAACATCCCACGCCCCGCTCTGCCCGCCTTGACGCGGCTGCCTGGGGCCAGTTCCCCCACGACCTCCGCACAGAATACCCTAAACCCTAAACCCTAAACCCTAAACCCTAAACCCTAAACCCTAAACCCGAATGCAGATTTGGGGAGTGCACTGGAGGTCTTCCGAAAAGGCTGTGGTCCGGTTCCTCAAAGGCAGAAACCGAAACGCAACTTGTGAGGCTGCTTCCTGGCCGAACAGCGTCACGCAGCCTGCGGTTCGTGACTTTAGGGGACCCCCTAAACCCTAAACCCTAAACCCTAAACCCTACACCCTACACCCTAAACCCTAAACCCTAAACCCTAAACCCTAAACCCTAAACCCTAAACCCTAAACCCTAAACCCTAAACCCCATTCAGAGTCTACTCGGCCGCCCCCAGAGGCCTCACTGCGCAGGGACTCACCGCTGCGGACGATGGCGCCACGCCCGCTGATGACCTCAAACTCACCTCCGATGTGCGGGCTCGGGGTTTATAGGGTTTAGGGTTTAGGGTTTAGGGGACAGTTAGGGTTTAGGGTTTTAGAGGGTTTATCGGGTTTGGAGGGTTTATGGGGGTTTAGAGGGTTTACAAGGGCTTTGAGGGTTTATAAGGGTTTACAGGGATTAGGGTTTGTAGGGTTTGTAGGGCTTAGAGGGTTTAGGGTTTAAAGGGGTTACAGGGTTTACAGTGTTTATAGGGTTTTATAGGGTCTATAGGGTTTATAGGGTTTAGGGCTTCTAGGCATTCGTACAAAACTTGAAAGTAGGGGTTGGATCCCTGAAGGTCCTAAACCCTAGGAAGCCCCTTAATCCGAAACCCACTCGGATCCTGTACCAGCCTCCCACAGGCGATGACTCAGGGCGGCCAGTTTTGGGTGCCAGCACAGCCGAAAGGCCCGCTGACAAGGCACCGCCTGTCATCAAGGGGGTTGAAGGGGTTTTGGTGATTATGATTACGATGATGGGTTTGGAGTTTTCTGGGTTGTGAGATTTTGATGTTACCTCCACAAAGGCCCTGAGCTCTGAAAAACTCGCCCCTTCACGTGCCATTGGCCTGCATCGCTCAGACCCCGGGCGACGTGCTTCGACAGCACGTCTCTCAGAAGGTGATCTGGCGGCCTCCAGGACAGTCTAGAGGGTTTCGGGTTTAGGGTTTAGGATGTAGGTTTCGGGAATTCTGAGACGTCGAGGGGGCTGGGATTTGTTCTGGGAAGTTTGACCTCCAACTCCTGGATGGAAGAGGCTGCGGGGTGCCGTGGGAGGAGGAAGCGTTTTGGTGCTATATGGGAAGGGGGGATTCTCCCTTGAGAGATGCTACGCAATGTGTCAATAGCTCAAGCAACCCCCTCCAGCACGCCAGCTAAGCCAGAAAATTGAGCAAGCGCCGCACTATGCATCTCCTTGTTTGGTGTGCACTGAACCTTCGAACACCGACGCCCGCTTCCGAAACGTGAAACGTGAAACAGCAGCACCAAGTGTGCATCCCACATCCTCCTCAACCAAGTCCACAGCAGTATGTGCACAGCGTTTAGGTGTTTGGGGCTTCAGCATTTGGGCTAGGGGCGGGGTCTCCGAGGGCCCCACATCACATCCAGTTGTCGAAGCTCGTCCTCAAGCATCTCGATGCGCTCCTGAAGGAAGAATGGCTGGCCTACTCCAGACCCTCAATTCAGGCTAGGATGGGGTCGCAAAGATCGAGGCAAAGCCTGGAGGAACAACTCAAGCGGTTGCATCGGGGGCTTGGGCCCTTCGGGTTGGTGTTCGATGTTCCGGTTCAGAGGCTCTCGTCACACACACCGCCCCTCCCTCCAGGGTCCTGCTGTCTCTCCACCTGGCGACTTGGCGGGGGCTTGGCTTCAGGTTCGAGCTCAGGACTTCTGGTTGTAAGCGGGGTTTCGAGCTTCTGTCAGCGGGGTTTCGAGCTTCTGTCAATCCCCAAAGTGCTTGGCTTGTGGTAATTACCTGCTTGAAGGCCGCCGCTTCAAAATCAAAGCGCCCGAGGCTCTGCCAGGGAGAGCTTGGCGTATATGCATTCATATAAATACACATAACTATCAACAAGAGAGTATGTCTGTATATAAATATATACATATATACACACACAAACTCTTAAAGTGATAGTCAGTTAGGGGTGCGGCTGCAGGCCGCAAGCCTACAGCCCCGAAGTCCGATGCCGAATTACCTGAACTCCAGGCGCTGACTGGGCCTGCTCTCTCAGCGCCATCTTTTCGGCGACTAAGACAGCAACCTGGAGAGCCGCGCCCAGGGTTCTCTAGAGTGCATCGATTGAGGTGGCATGCGAGGATATGTGCTTACTGTGTCCTACAGAATTCGAGGCAGCCAATGTAGGGGACCCCGGGAATCAGAGTCGAGGTAACTAAGGTTCCGAGCTTAGGTTCAGGGCTCGGGCATCGGGAACTCCTGCAGAACACTACAAAGCGGCAAACCCAAAACCTCACAGACCCTAAACCCCCAAACCCCCAAACACCCTAAAACACACTACGCCCTCGAAGCCCAAAAACCCCACGACTCCTCCTCGGCCATGGTCGCCGCGCTGGGCGCAGCGGAAGCGCCCTCCGCCTCGCGCACGGCCTTTCCGGGAGGGGCTGCAGGTTTAGGGGGGTGGAGGGTTTCGGCCCGAAAGGGCTTAGAGGTTTGAAGGGCTTCGGGCTTAAAGGGCCCTTTGGGTTTAGAGTCAGGGCTTGGAGAGGGTACTTGGAGGGTACTTGGAGGGCTAGAGGGCGCTGAGGGTTCAGGGCGTCGGGTTTGGGGTTTGGGGGTTTGGGGGAGCGCTGACTATAAGTTCAAAGGGGAAGTACCCCAAACAGGTTTTTACTGGCTGTAGGCTTAAGCAGCTATCTCACGAATAAGCCCACCTAGGACTATTCAATAAGCTCCCAGTTGGGCGCAGAACCTGAAACCCCGAAAGCCTAAATAAACACAGCTTTGCAACCGGAAGCCAGAATTCCCCCCCCCCCCAACCCTCGAATCTCCCCCCCCCCCTCCCAACCCTCAAAAAAAAACACCTAGCACTTCCGGAGAACCCCAATCCCCCAAATCCCCCATAGGCTTACAAGTTCTGTGAGCAGACAAAGGCAAATATATTGGATATTTAATTACAGTGTTCCGGAAAGTGTTCCGGGAGTATTCCGAAAAAGAGGGGGGGGGAGCATTCCAGATTAAAAGAGCGTTCCGAAAGCACGGACCACACGGCAGCTGCATAGGCCTGCTCTACTCGACTCAGAAGCTCCGACCAGTCTGGATCGCCCGTCGACTCAGCCGGCTCTTCGGTCGTCGGCCTCAGAGGGGAGGGGGAGGTAGCTGTCACAGTGGAGAATTGCTTGGAGCTTCGTGAGAAGTTCTATTCTATGTAGGGGTTTAGAGTCTAGGCTTAGCGGCTGAATCTAACAGTCTAACCCTGACCCTAAACCCTAAACCCTCCCAACCTATCCCCAACCCTAAACCCTAAGGCCCTAAATGCTGCAAAGCGCAGGAAACCTTTGCCCCCAAAGCTGGGTGGGTTGAGTCTCATCCCTGAGCTGCCCAGAGCTGCAAATCTACGGCTTCAAGGTTTCGAGCTTAGGGATAAGCCCTCCAGCAAAAGCTACGACACAGTACTGTAGAAATCCGTGAAATCGAGGCGAGTAAGAAGGTCTGAAGCGGAAGCCAGGCTGTTGGCTGCCCAATATCAAGGGTTCAGGAAGGGAAGGGCCCAGGGTTGAACCACACGTGACTACAACAAACACTCATCAAGCCATTACCACCTGCCTCTTGGTGTGTCCTATTAGCCTCTCGCCTGGGTCCTCTCAGCTACTACCCAAAGACGTCCTAAGTCTCCTGCCCTAAAGAATCAAATAACCCTCCTAAACCCTAAACCCTAAACCCTAAACCGTAAACCCTAAGCCCTTCAGGAAGTGCGCACTCCCTTTTTGGCCCGCACGGGGCGGTGTGACTGTCTGCGCTCCAGCTCGCACTTCGTAGGGGCCATGCCTGGATGAGACTGACCTGGGCGGCTCTTGAGGTACCCTTTCTACTGACATAGTTTCATCCCCATCCTCATCATCGATGATACGACTTTTGTAATTCTTGTTTTATTCTTACTATGATGATGATTATTTTCATCGCGAATGCACAGCCATCGAAAAAGGAACTCCCAAGGACAGCCAAAAAAACAGGGTGCTGGGATCGAGGACGAACACCTCGTAGGTCTGGATCGCGCGCTCGCCGCGCTTGGGATACACCCGGACAACCACGTGACCCCCGGAGGATCGGAGGTTTCCTAAGAGACCCTGTGCCTGGAGATCGGCCGACCTCTCTGAAAACAGGTCGGTGGCGAAGATCTCCCGCCCGATGCCCGTGCCTTCTGCGCCCAGGATCCTCATGCTTTGGCTTGGTGGCTGGTCAGAACACCAAACCTGCAGAATCGCCACCTTTGGGTCCACCAGCTGGGCGAAAAGCTCGGTCACCCCATGTCCGTGGTGATTCAGGGTGGCTACATCCACTGGCCCCGTGGCTTGTGCCGTGGGGTTTACCGAGTCCATCGCTTGGTCGCTTGTGTCCCCGCCCTCATAGTAGCGGAAGCTGTCATACTCGATGACGATTGCTGTGCTCAGCGCATTCTCATCCCAATCTCCCTCGCCCTTCAAGACTGTGCCGGGTATGGTTCTTTTGCCTTTCAGGTTGCCTGTCCTGTCGACCTCGGCAACCTCGTTATTCGCCTTGATGTTCTTGATCGCGAATCCTGCAGTCGAGCCTTTCTTCACCATGCGCAGCTGGTCAGAGCTGGCAACCTCAAAGCGTTCGACGCTGGTGCCCCTCACCTGCAGCGACTCCATGAAGCCCATGTAAAAGGCACCGTCGGGCGTGTTGAAGAGACTGACGGGAAAGCTGTAGTCTGGATACGCCTGGGTCTGCTACGGACCCTTGCAAGAGAAGATCCCCCTCATTTGTTGTTTGTGATCTTATAGCTGTATAGAGCTAACTCGAACCCAACACTTGGGAACAGAGAGTCCAGCCTTTGAACTGCTAGCAGTACTGAGTTCACGAGTTCTGAAACATAAGAGTCGCAAAGTGTCCTTGCGTACCCCGAAGACAACCCTGAGATCTGAACCGGCGATCAGGACGCTCTGTCAATCAGCTTGGAGAAATGGAAAGCTTCCGCGACCTCTGAGAGACCCGTGAGTGGAAGTGCATCGTGCCCATGTAGGCTCATGGTGCCCCTCTTGACAGCCGCCTTCGGGTTTTCAAGTGAGGGCTCGCTCTTGGGAGTTATAGGGCTTTATACAGGCTACTCCGGGTTTGGAGTTTATGTAGGGCTTTAGGTCCTTCTTCGGTTTTGGGAATCAAGGTTCAGGCAAAAAGGCCTCAATGTCACCAATGTGGTCCTTGCGGAAATGCGTCACCAGCACAAAATCCAAGGTAGGTCTGGCTTCCAAGTCGCGCGGCCAAAACTTCTTCAGATACTCGACGATCCATCCAGCCGTGGTTCTGGTGGAGTTGGGGAAGGGGCGCCTCGGTTCCTTCTCCTTGTGTCTTGCTCTCCAAGCCTCCGTCTCCACGTCGCCGGCGTCGATGAGCAAGGTGGAGCCATCCGGCATCACGACAAAGGTGCTCTGGCATGCCCCCACCTGCAGATGATGGATGTCAAGAAGTCCATGGCTCCAGGGAGGAAGGTTATCATCTCGATACTGGTTCCCTCTGATCTCCATCATCGCCGCGGAGATTCGTGAAAAGGATGCCCACAAGGCAGCGGCTGAAAGCAGCGCAGCGGCTACCAGTGTGAGAGCCCTCTTCTGTGAAGAGGACACTTTGGTGTTTTCTTTCATGCAGTTAGTGCTCTAATTCCCGGGTCCCTTCTTTCCGGCTTCGGCTTAAGAGTCTGCAGGAGGACTGAGAGAGGCCGTAGGCTGTGCATGGCCGGTCTCGCGTCAATCGTCCCAGCAGGTTGGCGCACAGGCAGACAGCGCTCCATGGACATTGGCCAAGACTTGGGAGTTAAACCCTATAAACCCTATAAACCCTATAAAAAAAAACAAACCCTACAAACCCTACTATAAAGTCTATAAACCCTATAAACCCTCTAAACCCTATACCCTCTAAAACTGCTGCTTTAAGCCTTTGCTAGGCCATAACCGTCAATGGGCTCTGGGAGCTGTGGGTTCAGGGAGCCCGGGTTGGGATATGCAACTGCGTCTACCGCAGGTGCGCCATGTGGCCTTGAGCTCTCTAAAGCGTAAGCCCCGTAAGCCTCCGGGCGAGGGTTGAAGCCGTGCAAAAAAGGTAAAAAAAAAACGACGGAAGCGCTTCCTGAAGCAAGAACTCCTTGACCCCTAGCCAGCGAACGAAGACGTAGCTCATACCACAAGACTGCATGTTAACCTCTCTTCAACTATTGCACTCCCAAAAGCGCCCTCAAGCCCTCAACCCCTCTGAACCCCCCCCTTCCCCCCGCCCACAAACGCATCCGAGGCGCCGGGAGAACCTGGACAAAGAGCTCTGAATTTGATCTCGGAGCTGATCGATGATCTCGTCAAGGAAGCCTGGGTCCCCGCTATGCATCCTTATCCTACGTGTTTTGGGACTCCTTTGGGGCCGTCTCTGTGCGTGTTTGCCGGTGTGGGGCTGCTAGGTTGTGAGTTCTTAAAACTCAGCAATTCTTCGCCAGGTCACCTGGCCCGGTCTCCTACTACCACAGCCACAAGGAATCCGGCAATGCCCAACCCCAGAGAATCCCACCAAGATCGCAGCCCGCGCCTAGATAATCCTACACGCCATCCCGCAAAACAACTATGCCTCGGAGTCCCACTCCCCAAAGTTTGCTGGAGAGCCTAGCCAAAGAGACTCCTCCAGAGCAGGTATCCCCGCAGCATACCCCTCCCTGGAGTTTGTCAATTCCGAAGAGTAGCCGGAGGGCACACAAAATTCCCCTGCAGCGCCCACCCGAGAGAATCCTGCAGGAAATCCCGCAGAGTACTTTTCGGAGTCTTGCAGAGAATCCCACAAACATCCCAAGGCCCAACATCGTATCCCTGGCGTGCCAATTAGTGCCGGGTATGGATGCTCGAAGCAAGTATGCTTGCAGGGCACTACTACATTCCCTTAAAACGCTCCCCCAAAAACCCCAAACTGAACCCGACAGGCACTCCCATTATCCCCTACACCAAAACGCACTCCCAAAACCCTGAGACCATACCAAAAGAGGCAGCGCATCCCTAAACCCTAAACACCAAGAGGTTCAGACCCCGAAAACCCTAAACCCCTAGACCCTAAACCTCATCAAGTCGAGCTTGGCTGACTTCGGGACCCTGCAAGCAAGGGACTCTCCGTGTCATCCGCTGCTGTCTTAGCAGCATCCAGTTCTTCCTCCTCAAAGTAGGTGGATTGGGTTCTTGTCTCGGGTTTACGTGTTAAGGTTTAGGTTTTAGGTTTCACGGTTTAGGGTTTGGGTGCTTCAGGGCTTTGGATTCAGGTTCGGGAGTTGAGGATTTGAGGCTTTCTTGGGGGGGTCAGAGCCGACCTCCTGAAAGCCCACGACCACCGGCTCAAATGGCCTAGTCGCCCGCCCCAAACCCTAAAGTGCCTGAACCCATCACTAAACCCTGCATGGGCCCTATAAACCCTAAACCCTGAACCCTGAACCCTGAACCCTAAACCCTACCCTAAACCCTGAACCCTAGACCCGGAACCCTGCTCGCCAATGGCTCCGTGGCCTTGGGCTGGGCGGCCTCCGCAGCCTCTTCGGCTTCGACCTCGGCCTGGATCTTCTTCCTGGGCTTCTTGGGGTTTAGGGCTAAGGGGTTTGGGGGTTAGGGTTTAGGGCTCTTAGGGTTTGGGGTTTTAGGGTTCAGGCCTCTTGGGGTTTAGGGTTTAGGGTTTAGGGTTTAGGGTTTAGGGTTTAGGGTTTAGGGTTTAGGGTTTAGGGTTTAGGGATCTCTTAGGGTTTGGGGTTTAAGGTTTAGGGCTCTGTGGGTTTAGGGTTTAGGGCGGTTTGGAGGGCTTTGGGGGCTCAGGGGCTCAGGGGCTTAGGGGCTTAGAGGCTTGGGGGCTTTGGGGCTCAGGGATTCTAGGGTTTAGATTTCAAGGGTTCAGGGACGAGGTCCCAGAGGCACTACGCAATAGCAAGGGGAGCGCCTGGGGTCCGAGGGGGTTGGGAGTCGAGGGTGTTAGGTTTTGACTAGGGTTTGAGGTTTGGGAGTAGTAGAAAGGGCGAAAGGTTGATGGTTCAGGGAGTGAGGGTTTAGGTTTAGGGTAAAGTTTAGGGGCCATTGGTTTAGTAGGACGAAACGCGCGGGGGATTACGGGAGGCTTTTGGTTTTGGTCCGGGACTAGGGCTCTTCAGCAAGTATCTTCTCCTCATATGGATGGTTCTCTAAATTATGATCCCTCATTTCCTTCGAACAGAAGCCACAAGTGGAACCCCTGTGCATGACAGATACCTCGCACCACAAAGACGTCGAAGTCAGACCACTATGAGGATGCCTAGCTTATCGGAATTGGTATTTATTGGTACTGTAGTTTACTAGGATGGCCCTTAAACCCTTCTGAAAAATATTCCTGAATATGACCCTCTTAAACCCAAAAAGGGAAGATACAAAATGTCCCGGGTCCCAAGGGCCTACCTAGTTATTGACCTTTCCGAATGCCGGATTCAAGGCTCAGCTCCACTTGAAGCTGGCTATTCTCACCTCGGCCGCGCCGGAGAGCAGCATTTTAGACACAAGGGTACCTACTTTGATGAGGAGCACATTCAACTTGTCCCCACGAAGGCCCTCCCCAGTATAGCCTAAGAGTCGAAGCTGAAACATCTTCACTTCGGATGGTCGTGGCTCGGGGGTGGAGGCAGCTGCCCCCCCGGCAGCTTGCGAGCCTGAGCCTTCATACTGGTATCGCCTCAATTTGCCAAACTTCGCAACCCTAAGAACCATGCTCAAATCATCCCACTCTGAACCCGAACTCCTACCCGTTAACGCCCTAAGAACCCTAAGCCCTCAACCCTAAATCTACACCCTAAACCCGAAACCCTAAATTCTATAGAGTTCTCCTGACCTTCAACTTCCAGGGTGCCCCAACTCTCCTTGCGCGCCAAGCTGCTGCAAAGCTCGTCGTTGGCGGCATTTTGCCTGACCCGCAAAATTCCCGCAAAGAAGCGCAAACTTCCCTTCCGCCCCCTCCCTCCCCCTAAACCCTAAACCCTAAACCCTTGCTGCCGACCTCTCTCTGACTCATTGGTTTCTCTTCCATGCGTTTACCTCTCAAACTACTTCGGCATGCGGGGTGAACAGCCTTGAAAGCCATTGCCGGTGACTCTTCGGATGTTTGTTCGCTGCCTCTTCTGGGAAGTTCCTCCGAGTGTTTTATCACACTCTCTTTTTACAGCTCTCGTAATCTGTAAACCTTTTGAACTGAAATCCCTTCACACAACCCTATAACCCCAAAGGAACCCTGAGCCACTGCCAGAACCCTAACCGGGATTCAAGTGTTGTTGCGGTCTGCAAATCCCTAGACCCTAGACCCTGAACCCCCAACCCTAAACCCCAAACCCTAAGCCCTAAACCCTGCACCCTAACCCCAAACAAACTTGCTGCCTCTTGAGAGCTCCTTCCCAGTCGATGGCTTCTTCGGCGCTCTCGGGGAGCCGAACAGACAGCAAGCTCTGCTGGAGCGTTGCGAAGCCTGTCGTCGGGTTGAACCGGTTGAACTCTGGGGTGGGTTTTCGGGTTTAGGTTTAGGGTTTAGTCTTATTTTTCTTTTGGGGGGGGGGCAGGGAGGCTGGGCTTTCTGGGGTTGAGGGATTACAGGGTCGATAGGTGCTTTAGGGTTTACGGGGTCTATAGGGTCTATCAGGTTTATCTCAATTTTTTGGGGGGTGGGGGGGGGGGGGGTCGGTTTCGGGATAGGGCTTAGGGTTTTGGGCCTCCAAAAAAACAAAAAAGCGCCTTGGCTGCCGGCCAAGCCATCTTGGATATTCTGGAGGAATGCTGCGCCGCCGGTCCTTCAGAAAGTCCTACACTGCCCTACACACACCTTGAACGCTGAAAGCCCTAAACATGAAAACCTTCACCTATAACCCTGCAACCTAAGTAGCCCTGAACACCCTAAACCCGCGGACGATCCGCGAATAACAGCTCTAAAGAGAGAGTGGTCGAGCGGCTTCAGTTGGGGGGCAGAGGGTTAGGGCGGTTAGGGGGCATATACTCAAATAGCTGCTAACTCTGCACCGACAGCAGCGAGAGCCTGGTCTTTTTGGTACTGACTGGAACTTCATCCATGTCAAGAGCCCAAGCTTTGGCACTTGCAACCTGCCACCTGCCACGTGAAGTAGTCTTTAATTCGTCACTCAGCTGCAACGAGGCTTATACCACTGTGGATTGGCTTGAGCCCGGCTTCAGGATAGCCGGGCGTGGAGTGCTTGCAACGGCCTTGCTGGCACAAACTTGCTCAAGCTTGCCTAAAATCGTACAGTACGGTGTTCCCGAATTTTGGAAAGACTTAGGCACACTGCTTGCCGTCCAAGCGGCCCACCGGCATTCGCCCAAGCCTCTGAGTGCGTCCAGGTAGGAGTAGAGGCGAACAACATTCCATTTTTCGGGCACTTTGAACAAATTTGGTCTTATTCCATTAGGATAGCACGATTTCTTGTAGTTCGGGCGCACCAGAGAGCGGTCATAATTTGGAGAACTGCTGCTCATGTGCCCCATGGCTGTATTGCACCGAGTGGCTTACACCAGCACAGTGAGCCTTGCAACCTGAACCGTTCACTCCCAAACATCCAGTACTTTTCTTGCATCTCTGAACCGGGCGACTGTCCTCGGGGCATCCCCCACTACACCCAAACGCTCCTAAACATGGGCCGAGTGGCAACCCAGCTGTTCAAGGTTGCTTCCAGCTGCGTGGACTCTCTGCCGGGAGGCTGCACCATAGCAAAAAGACATCGCCGTGAGCATCTTGCCCCGTATTGGGGTGGAGGGGATTTATGGGTTTAGGGGCTAACTTCTAGGAGTTACGTTTAGGGCTGAGGTTGTTCAAGCGCCGATCTTGGTGTTTGCAGAGTTCCAGGGGTGATGCTTAGCTCCGGGGCTTCGAGTTCGGGAGCCGGACGGTTTGGGGCCTCAGGCGTGTGGGGTTAGGAGTTATAGACCCTATCAGCCTTTTAGCCAAATTAAACACCTGGGAGGTTTTGGGCTGGCTTCTTCTTCGTCTGCAGCGTGGAGGCTGGGAGGCTCGGTTGAGAAAGCAGGGATTCTGACACCAGTGCTTGGCATTTCGACGGCGGGCGCTTCCACCGTTTGAACCAGACGCTTCCTGGCAGATTCCTGAAACCGGCTTGCAAAGTGGGTTGCTTCGGGGTGAAGCATCGTGCAACCCGAGTCCTATGCTTGCAAGTTAGGGATAAGACGACTTCGGAGACAACCCCCCCGCTCTCCCCTCAAAAGCTGTAGCGTATGTCGAAAGGCGCACCTAACCTCGATTTCTCTGTAAGGCCGCCGCTATCTAATCGAAACAATCCTTCCAAGATTCGGCTGAGGCTTTTCAATCTGATCTCAACCAACTCCATGGCCTGACCCAAAAGTTTCTGGTGGAGTGAGCTCCTGCCTATGGAGCAGTTGTCAGGCCCCCAGCCTCAAGGCTAGACCCTAGAGACGTAGACCCCACGCCGACGCGGTTTGCGGCCTGGCCTGCACAAGCTCCGAGCGCCTTTTCCCACTGACAGGCTGCAAGTTCTTGGCGGGAGGCGCCCGGGGCACGCACCCAAACCCCAGAGACCCTGAACCCTGACACTTGCAAATATGGCGAAGAGCCTGTAGTGATTATGTGATTATGCATACACTAGCACCCTAAGGAGAAACATATACACCCCCCGTTTCATGTTGGGAATATGGGGCTTCAGGATTCAGGGTTCGGAGGAGGGCGCCGCAAGGATGAGAAGACGCTCAGGGCTCGTCGGGGAGCGAGGAGGTAACCTGTCCACGCGCGTTTTGTGTTTCGAAGGCTTTGGGCTTCTGAGAGTTTTTAAGGCACTTTGCTGCAACCACTGCAGGACCCCAGGATGGAAGCCTACACTGAGCCAGTTCAGGAGTTTAAGGGAAGCTTCAGGCTACCAGACTCCTAGAGCGGATGACCCTGGGCACATGCAAGCAGGAGAGGGAGCCTGCGGCCTCAGAAGCAACCCCACATCCTGCAAAAAATGCTGCCAAACATAGGCAGCATGCCCAAACACCTTCCGAATCCCAAAGGCCCATGTGCAGGGCTGAGGAAAATACCCTGGTAAGCCAAGCAGACCACACCAGAACCCGAAGGAATCCGGAGAAGCCAATTTCTTAGGACATGGCCCGAGAGTCTGCTTCAAGATAGATCCTCCTTGGTGCAAGCCTTCGAGAAAAACTCAGCCCCTCTGCCCCTTATGGTGCCTCGTTGGCACCTTAAACTATGAGGGGTTTACTATCCTGACTGATGACTGCAAATAAAGAGAGACCAACACAGAGATCATAATTTAGAACATCGCCACAAGAAGCATGCTTGTAGTACTAGTATCCCCCAAAAGGACACCCCATATTATAGCACCCTTCAACAGTCTTTTTGAGGAACCACATTACACACTCAGCAAGATCCGTAACATCAGGCCTCAAGCGGTGGCTCCAGACCAGCATGCAGCATCTGCGATCGTAGGAATCCCTCCTGCAGCAGCTCTTAGGGCTTTTTCTGTTTTTTTTTTTTTTGGGGGGGGGGGGGGGGGGGGGTGGTGGTTATGGTTGACGAGCGTGCCACGGGCTAAGTTGAAAAAGACGATGAGCAGTTTAAAGACTGCATAAGGGGTTGGTCTGAAGAAGCCCTGCGCAGTGGAGTCCAGGCAAGTACCGGCGCCAAGAAGAACCCTAAAATCCCATAGCCAACCCGAACCCCTAGACACCTAGGACTCTAAACCCTAAACCCAATTCCCAAAACCCAAACACCCACCTCCATGCGGAGCGACTCATGGTCGACCTGGCATGGGGCTCAGGGTCGGGGTTGTTGGACATGATACATTGGCATCCAATTTGGCCAATTATCTTAACACGCCAGTGACTGCAATCACAGCAACCGGGCGCCCTGTGGGGTGTGTCAAGGATGTGAACTGACTGAGGATGAACATCGCATTCTCATGTTCAGCAACTCGGGACGACGACAGTAATCTTACACAATATCTTGGAATCACGCCGGAATAGCGCATAAGGAATGCAAAGGCATGATGAGAACATCGTGTGAAACCAGAGCACCGAATCTACAACGTCAAAACACAAGTTGCCATGTCAACCAAGCGCTGCAATGATTTTGGTGCGGCACATCCACCATCTCCTTGACAAATAGAAGTGGAAAGCTGCATGGTTCGAGAACCAAGGCTGCGGGCTTTTCGCCAAGTGTGGGGCACGTATACCCCAAACTCCTCAGGCACAGGTCTGACCTAAGCGACGTTCGTGCGGCTATTCGCCACCCCTCCCCCCCTAGGTAAATAGAGACAGGCACCGTCATACACGATCTGAGCAATCGTACCAGCGACGGCCAAACACCCCTACATTACGTTGCCATAAAGCCCTCTCAGCCCTCTCGAACAGCCTGCAAACACGTGTCACATTGCCGTCGCCCAATCCCTGTCACCACGAGGGGTCTGGCCTTCAGGTTCACCAACTCCGCTCTCAGCTGCTTGTTCTGCTCACGGAGCTCCTGTTAAGGCGGACCTCTAAAGAGGGGGCATCCTCAACACGGGACCTTGAGCCTCCCCTATAGCAACCCCCGCCTTGCGCCTGGGGTTTAGGGTTTAGGGTTTAGGGTTTAGGATTTAGGGTTTAGGGTAAATCACCAGCCCGCAGTCTCTCGAAGCTATCAGCTTCCTCGCTGGGTCCTTGTTCAGGGCCATGATGCCGACCTTGGCTCGATGAAAATCCCCTATGATGCCCCGGGGCCCCAAACTCGCTTCCCAACGCTTTTGGGGGTTCGTGGAGCTTGGGCTTCCGAGTGATTCTTGTTCCCTGGGTTTTTAGCTATCAACATGTTAAACTTTGTATAAGGGAGCTGTAGACTTGGGGGTGCCAAAAACCGCTTTCCCAAAGCACTTTTCTTCCCTCGGCTGCAGCGGCCGCTCGGGGGCGCCCTGTGGCCAAAATCTCCATGCGAGGCCGCGAATCAACGCAGATCGACCCATTCGGATTTCGGGCTTAGGGGTTTAATAGGGTAGCCTCTATGACTTATCAAGTCCATAGATTATGAGCCTGTTGTGAAGCTTTCGGATCCTTTCCGATACTGAGAGTTCACTTGGAGTTGCTGTGCAGGGCTAGGCACTTGGAGGTTATCAGGGCCCATGGCTGCTAGGATACAGAAGCCTCATCGCTTGTGAAGAGAGCTTCGGCCAAGAACATGCAGGCTTGTGGATTGTTGGGGATTCGGCGCGTTTGGTTTTAGGGCTCCGGGTATGACAATTTCTAATGGCCAGGGCCTCTCTGTACCCCCAAAAGGGCAGCGGGACTCGCCAACCTCGTGGAGCCAGTCATTCCGGCTTGTGTCTGCAACAGCGGCCTCTGTACAGCTGCTCCGGGGGAAGCTTCCTCTGCCTCTGGCTAGGCAACGCTGCAGTCCCCGTGACTCCGGCCTGGAGTCAGCGTGTCCCTGCGGCCTAGACCTTCATGCTAGCTTCCTCACGCCCTCAGCCCTAAATAAACCAAAAGTCCCCTCCTGAAACGCCCTGCCGGAGTCTTGTAAAACCTGGGGCGGTGTCTCTGACTCTGCGTGGGCTCGGCTGCAAGCTGCAGGTTCCAAACAACACGTTTGCGGGTCCCCCTTAGCCTCCCCTGCCTCCCACCCCTAAACCCTAAAACTACCAAAAAGCCCTTCAAAATGGAGGCTAAAGGGCGAAAGGTGGGGCTCAGGCGATAGCCCAGCTATCGCCATGGCGCATGCTATTCAGGGTGTCGGGGGTTTGGAGTTTTAAAACTTTGGGCTTTCAGGGTTTCGGCGCCTGAGCCTGCACAGCTTCAGCTGGCAGCGAGGCCGGACCCCTGCCAAAGAAGCGTCCATCGCATGGGCGATGCCTGTGGATCCCAGGTCCTGCACAGGCTTAGGGTTGGAGGCTTATTCTGGGAAGTTTGCGGCTCAGGGCAACCCGAGGCTAGCCTAGCACTCGTATCCAAGCGCAAGCACCGGCGATCCAGCGAGGTATGGCCGGTATGTCTTCGCGGTTTAAAGAAAGCCCAGGAGGTTCGAACATATCCGTACGCTGGGAGGGGATGTCTGTCGCAAGCCAAAAGCCTATGGGCCTATAGTTAGGTGTGGAATGTGGGGCAAAAAGCCCACAGCATCAATCCAGAATCAGCAGAGTCCTGGTTTGAGGAGGCAGTGCTGCAGAGCCCGATGCGTCCTGCGTCGCCCGGCCCTTCCTTCAGGTTGCATGTCGAGTGGGGTATCAGCACACTGCGAATGAATCCCGAGGTGCGAAACTCCACCACAAGAAGCACCCCTTCACAGGGGCCTAGGCTCCTCATCCCTTCATGCTAAACCCTACAACCCCCCCCCCCCCTTAACCCCCAATCCCTAAGCCGCCCAAGTTGCAGGATCTTGATCGACGTCGCCTTCCAACTCGACATGAAACTGCTCCGATCTCCTTGGATCTCCTTGGATGGAAAGCCCCAGGAATTTGTTTAAGCGCTGAAGCAAGATTCTGGGTTTAGGAACCCGTCTTTGTAAGGGATTTGGGTGCCACTCTCCTCCAAAGAACTCATGGAATCACATGGCGAGCAAGAAAAAGAAGCACACCTTCGAGAACAAACCCCACAACTACTAGAAAGACAATCGCCATCCGAAACCCGATACAACCCTAACCCTAACATGGGGGGGGGGGGGGGGTTGCTGCGGATTCGAGGTCAAAAGAGGCCTTCATATCAGGGCCAGCCGCTATGCGCCAGCCCTCCCCCTCGCTGCGCGTCTCTGCCTCAAGGCGGCAGCGGTTCGTCTCGTAGTTGCGGAGCGACGACGCCTGCGATCCAGGGCATCTGGGGACTCTCTGGCGCTGGGCCTCCAGGGGTTGAAAAAAAGGCTGGGAAAGGCTCCTTCGTTCACTATGGGAAGCCCCACCTTAAACCCTAAACCCCCAAACATCCCAGAATTGACTGGGCTAACAAGGTGCGAAGGCCATTGTTTGGAAGAACGGGGCGTAGGGCGGCTTGCAAGTGCCCACATATTAAACTCTAAACCCTAAACCCCCCAAACCCAAACCCAAACCCTCCTGCAAGGCCTCCACTGCCTTCACCAGGGCTTGGGGCAGCTCGGGCTGCTCTTCGGCAAGCTGCGCCACAACGCCCTGCGGAACGGACTCCTATAGGATCCCTTTTTGGGCTTAGGGTTTAGGGCTTACGTAGGGTTGAGGGTTTAGGGTTTAGAGGGTAGAGGCTTTAGGGTTTAGGGTTTATAGGGGTAAGGGTTTAGGGTCTAGGGGTTAGGCGCCTGTGTCCCGCAACGGCGATGGGCCTTCTTGAGCTCTTCCTCGAACCTGGCGCAGGAAAATGCACAACTGTCTTCGGGTTGAGGGTTGAGGTGTTAGGGGGCTGGTTTAAGTTAAAAAAAAACTTTGGGATTTGGCGTGAAGAGGGGTCAAGGACTTTGTACAGGGCGTGTCTAAGCTGGCGACAAACTCCAAACGATCAGCCAAAAACAGGTCTTGGAGCATCAAATACTCAGAAACAACGCAGCAGTGAAGGGGGCTGATAATCTTGGGGTCCACACTTGCTCTCCTACCCCCCCCCCCAACAAAAAAAAAAAAAAAAACAACTCAGACAAACCGCAAACCCACAAAGAAAGCTTGCCCTTTGGAGCCCCCCCAAATCGGGCCTGGTCTCGCTCATCGCGGAAGCCCACCAGCCAAGCCCAACGGTGCCTGGCACAGCGGCCACCAGGCGCCAGCCCCCGATCCTCGGCTGCGATAAGCGAGTCTAGGGTTTACAGGTTTTAGGGTGGGGATTCTTCCCTGTTATTTTTTTTTTCTTGGGGGAGGGGGGGGGGGGGGGTGGGTCCCGTTTGGAGCATTCTATGAAGCAAGGACTGGACATAAGTTTGTCTTGCCAAGCTTGCTGAATGTCTCCGAGCAGCTCGTAGACAGAAACCACGGCGCCGACCTGATGGCGCAAAGCCACAGCGGCAACGACACCACACCACCCTAAGCGCACCTCTTCACGGCCTTATGAACCACAAGGCCCCCGCACCAGCCACTGCAGCAACCGGAAGTCTCTGTAGCCTGTGGCCTAATTCCGAACACCCTAAAAAGGAAGCCAAAGCCTCAACACCCCCCCAAAATATCCTGAATGCTTGAGGCTGCTAAGCCTGCTAAGCCAACTCGGCCCAGCTGCAGCCATGGCCCCGGGCCCCGCCAGTCGCAGGGCAGGCGCTGCTGCCGCCAGGCGAGGCGCCTGAGCCAACCCGAAAACTGAAACCTTATTCGCCCTACTACATGAAAAGCCTACTAGACCTAGAGCCCCCCCAAAGCTCCTGAAGTCCCTAAACCTTAAACCCCAAAAGCTTGAACCCTATACCTTACCCAAAAGAACACTCATTCTATCCCCCCCCCATCGAAATCAAAGTCATGCCGAAACCCCAGTCGCCAAAGCCGGGGCGAAGCCCTAAAGCCAAAGCCTACACTGCTTGGGCGGGGCGCCAGCGCAGCGCCCCTGAGCGCCATGCCAAATCCGACCAAATACTCCCCCCACGTGCCGGGCGCCTGAACAAAATCTGCTGGGGGCTCCAGGGCTCCCAGGCAGGATGAAGGCCATAGGGCTTATAGGGTTGTTGGGCTTATAGGGCTTATGGGGCTTACAGGGTTTGTACGGCTTTTGGGGGGCCTTCGGGCTTGGGTCTTGTAGGGCTTAGGGCCTAGGCTTGCTTGTTTGAGGAGGTGGGCGTAGGAGAGTGGTCCTGTAAATGTTGAGGGGGGTGAGGCTCAGGCATTCCCAACCTAAAAGCCCCAAAGAGCCACCCAAAACCAAGCTGGCAACCTAAATGCGACAACATAGATCTACATTAGAACATAATTTTGCAAAATATAGTCCAAAATCTAAGACAATAGAAAAAAACACATTAAAAAAGGCACCCGACCGAGGCCCCCAAGGGTCTCCCGTCCAGCCTCCTTGGGCGGTTCTTCCTTAGGTGCTTGCTTCCCTTGCTCCTCCTGCAAACTTGTGGGGGCGAAGGCAGGTGAACCATGGGTTTTAAAGGGAGGGGCCAGAAGCACCTTCATGTTGTTGCGCTCTTTTTGGTGCCACGACGAGGAGGGGGGGATTATTAGAGTTCGGGTCTCAATTTTTAGTCGCAGGATGAGATGGCGGATGTCAAGCTGCGATAGGTGGTCTCGTCTGGGAAGTCTCGAGGGTGTAAGGTCGTTGATGTAGGCCACACCAATGAAGCTATGGTGAAAACGTGACAAAGGGATAGGTTTCCGTGTGTCTGCATGGTGTGCCAACTGTCTGCTCAAGCACTCTATTTCACCATCAGAACTACATGTACCCGGTGGGTATTGGAATGATGCTAGATTCAATACGGGGCTGTCTCTGTGTTAGTATCCAGTCGTGAGGGCAAGGAAACCAAGAGGGGTAGCTGTGGTCATGCAACTCGGTTCCCTAGTAAATGATGACAAGGGAAATGCCAAAATGCCCCCTCCCCCGTAGTGCTCATCGTGCTCGTTCATTTCCGAAACGCTACCCGCTGTGCTCCGAAACCATGAAGATGCCATTAGCCCGAAATCGAAGTTGCCACAGCAACACCCTGCCTCCTTTTCTGTGGAGTCCGCTTTTGCCTCCTTCGCTGTTGGCCTCACAGAAAGTCCCAAGTGTCGGAAGCGGCTCCGGTTCCCCGAGCGTCGACGCCATCTACAGTCCGAGTCCAAACCTTCCCCCCCATCCTCCGCGCCGGAAGTGACAGGGAAGACAAGCCTTAAACCCCATCTGGGAAAACTGACATGCGTATTAGACTTACACACATGCATTGATATAGATAGAGATTTATGTATATATAAATATAATGCGTATATAGAATCTATATATATATATATAATGAAACTAAATATAACATAATAAGTAATAACCACATAAATAAATAAATATATATATATACACAGATATATACATACGAGTGCATTTGTATTATTATCGAATACACTGCTTTTTGTTCGCACTCATGGGGATCCAAGATGCTATGGATATTCTTTGGATCTTGGGATAGAAGTTCCATCGCTTCAGTCGGGCTTCAATCGCACGATCGAATCTTACATCTTCTCACACTGTGCCATTCCCTCAACAATGTAGTGGTGTCCAGTTTTTTGACTTGATTTTGGATCGCAACTGAAAAAGCTGAATTCAGTACTTCAGTATTTTCCCTTTAATGTAGACATCCAACAGTCGCTAGGAAGCTAAGAGTAGAATACAAGTTCGGCAAAGCACCCGGCAATCAACCAAAAACCGATGTTGAATAACACAGCCGGCCGTCTTTGCATGTCCAAGTTCACGCGTGTGGAAAAGTTTTAGCTACGCAGCAATGACTTTCTCATGGTCATGTTTCTTAGTCCCGGGCCCATTCTAATTCAAGAGGTTCGTTTAGCTTCAAAAGGACCCGGGTTGTGGAACCACGGTTCGCAAAAGTGTTTCTCCGAATTCCGGATCTTGGTTCCTGGCAACCCCAACAGTTGTCTCAGTTTGTCTGAAAACGCCTTCCGCATCAACTGAGAATATAAGGCCTGCTTTGCGATGTACATGTACTTTGTGGGTTCACTCAGGCCCTACAAGCCCCTTCCTCAACTTCTTTAAGACGGAAATCCAAGGGCAACTTCGAAGCTACGGGTACAGAGCCCGCAGACCTTCGCAAAAACAAGCCGCCGATGATTTAAGCTTCAATGACCCGTGGGCATGAAAGCTTGGGCTCTCATCAGTCTTATCCGAGCCATGGAAATTCAGGCTTTGCGTCGAGTGACAAATACCTCTGCCTCAGAGGTGTCATTTCCAATGTAGGATGGCTTGAAGTTTCCGTTGCGAAAAATCAAGAACCAGAACTTGCAACATGGAATGAACCTGGGAGAGCATGACAATTGGGGCCACAGCCATACTTTCTGCAAGCTTAAGCCCAAGTACTTTCTGCAAGCTCCAATATCTGCAAAAGCACAAGGCTTAACCAGTCACATTAGAGACGTGAAAGAGCTTTATCTGCCCATAAACTGCTCCTACATTCGATAGATCGGAGCCTTGTACAAGCTTCATTGCAGCACAAATAACTTCCTCAAAAAGTTCTGGCTTCATGTAGTCCTCGAATCGGAAGTGTGCTCACTAAAGTTAGAAGAAGGGCTTCGGCTTTCTCAATACTCAGCTCTTCTGCAAACAGGGTTCAGCGAACCCCAAGGCTGGCGGGGGTCTGCCCTGATTCATTCATCATTGCGTAGGGGGCTTAGAAACTGCTCTGCCAGAACAAAAAACCCGACCCCCCACCGCAACTCGGAAAGTCGGAAAAGCAGATGTTTGCTCTTCGGAATCTTCCAACTCACTCACAGATTCTCATAATCTGCATAACCTCTCGAAACCATCGGAATTTGAGGGCTCTGAAGTCGGACCGAAGGCACTTGAAATGCAAGGCGGACATACTGTATAACTTACATGTACCTAGTTCCATACCCATGAGAATCACATGCGCCATAAGGGTCCCAGCTAGGAACCTCGGAAGCTATTCCCTACTTTGGAGTAGACCGTGGAAACTAAGTATATACTTTTTAGTCAGAAGTAGCCATAGTAGCAACCCAGAACCCAAAAAGGGATGAAGGTATAGTACCCCGAAAAGCCCAATGTTGGGGGGCGCCTGCGTGAGGCGAAGCTCCTCAGCGCCGGAGCCCGGGCCAGGCGTCGCAGCGCTGCCGCGGCGGCGGCGGCCGGGCGCCCGGAGGCGCCGGTGGGTGCCAAGGGGGCCAACATGGCAAAGTGCAATTGACTCAAGGAAGCTCTAATTTGGGTTTCTTTCTTTTGGGTGGGGTTCGTAGGGTTTATAGTGGGGTTTAGAGTTTAGAGTTCTTCTTACTGTGGCAGTTGTTGCTGTGTTTTTGGGCTTAGCGCCACGCGGTTCCCTTCTGGGGTATTGGATTCAGCTGCTCGTGATGCACGAAGAAAAGTCACATGCAGTCATGCTAGTGTTGCAGGTGCAGGTTGTTCCGTGATTGGCCTTGTTTGCGGGCTCTCTAGGATTTGCAGGAAGCTTGAGGCGTCAAGTGCACGCCGTGGCCCAACCAAGTAGTGTGCCTTGCCCGCTTGGTACTAAGCCCTGAACATGGGTGTATCGTGAGACATGAACTTGGCTCAGAACATCTCTGAGCTCTAGACCCCGAAATCCTAAACGCGATATCCCACAAAATCCCCCCGTAAAGAGAGAGAGAGAGAGAGAGAAAGAGAATTGGGCTGGGGTTTCAGAAACTCGCACAGCAGCCGAACGGGAAGCCTAGCCTTCTCTGGCATCCGATGCTCAGCCGCGCGCATACTCGGTGCTGGGGATGTAGCCCTGCATCAGCATGTCCTCAGCCTAAGGGGGAGCCAGGCTTTGGCCAAGAGAGGTCTGAAGAGCTGTCTAACGCTACGGGAGCAAGTCCCATCCTGAAAGCCCACATAGCCGGCAATCCTTCAAAAAGTCTCTAGCAAAAAGCCGGGCATGTGCGGCAGTTGGCACACCAGCTGGAGTAGCACAGACCATCCTCCCCATGGGGTTCAGGGTTTTGGGGGCAGGGCTCAGGGTGTAGGGTCCAAAGTTCTCCAAGCCCTAAACTTCTCTGAATCCTAGTCCCTAAACCTTTGGGCCCCTAGAGTCGGACGTGCCTTGCGCTCTCATCCTTACTTCTCCATCTTTTTGGGGGAGTGAGCTTGAATATTCTCGTAGATGCATATACATGCAGATATTCCTCACTTACTCAGCATGTAAGGATACATAGGGATGATGCAGCCCTAAGAGGCGAAATGGCGACCTACTGGACGTCATGCTGCAGCTGAACTTCATGTTCGCAGTGCCTTCTGAGAGCCCAGGCAGACACCGAAGCAGCTGCCGAGCTAGGCCTCTCACTTTCCACCCTAAAGTTCCCAAAAACTGCAGCTACGTACGAGTAGCTGAGAGCTTGGGATGGTAAGGTTTAGGAGCCAAATCAACGTGGGTTCGAATTCTATTCAAGAGAGGCTCCTCCCGTTTCCCTGGAAGTCAGAATCAGGAGCAGGAGACTGACTTCCATCGAGAACCACAACATAGCAAGCTTGAGATCAGAAACCATATCCCACAAGACCCTCCGAAGGATGGCAACCACACTTCGAACTTCAAACTTCTCAAACTGTCTGCAAGAGCGGCCTGGTTGATGCAGGCGTGCGACCCTGGCTGGCACCCGTGCCTGCCAGGCATGGCAGGCGTTTTAGGGGAGGCAGGGGTTCAGAAACCCCTAAACCCTAAAGCCCTAAACCTTCAAAACCCTAAACCCTAAACCCTAAACCTTAAACCCTAAACCCTGAACCCTAAACCCCTGAAATGCCCCATGCCCCTTCAACCCTCTTGATCCTGAATGCCCGGATCCCTGGTTGTGGCCTGAGCTCCGGGCTGAAGAGGCCTCTTGCGGAGAAGGCTCAGGATGGCTTAGGATGGCTTAGGGTTTAGGGTTTAGGGTTTAGGGTTTAGGGTTTGGGGTTTGGGGTTTGGGGTTTGGGGTCTGGGGTTTGGGGTTTGGGGTTTGGGGTTTGGGGTTTGGGGTTTGGGGTTTGGGGTTTGGGGCTTGGGGTTTGGGGTTTGGGGTTTGGGAGTTTCCGAAAATAGGGGTTCCGCATTGGGGTCCTTATTATAAGGGAGTTCTACCATTTGGTGGGTCGTTTGGGGTCCCCTATTTTCGTTACCCCCGAAATGTGTACCCAGGGTTGTTGATTTTGTTTCCGTTCTTGTCTTCCCACTCCCTTCTTGCCCGCTTTCCAAGAGGCCGAGTCACTCTCTCCCATCTCCTTCTTGACCCCCTTTCCCCCGAAATTCTCCAAAGCACTCAACAAGAACCTTACACACAAGAAGCGCAAAGATCAAAACAAGCTCTCCAAGCTGTCTATAAACCATCACTACCAAAGAGCAAGACACAAAAAGAAACACAGCAAACAAGATGTCCAAAGATCCTCAAACTTCAGCGGGTTCGCCTCAGGGGTTCCCGGGCTCGGGCGTAGCCTCCAAGCGACTGCTTGGTTTGGGTTTACGGTCTAGGCTGTACTTACTTCAAGGATGGCATGCTCAGGATTGCTCAGGGGTTGGGGATCGTCTTCGCCAACCTCGTGTGCCCTTAAGTTTTAAAAGCGCGATTCAGGGTTTGAGGAAACTTTGATCCAGGCTTCCGGGGACAGAGGTTTCGGGCCTCTCAACCGAAAATTAAACAATCGCCTCCTTATGCCAGGCGATCATCAACTACACTGGCCTGGCGCACCCTGATGCACCTCGAATGGCACCTCGAAGACCCCAAAGCTCTGAACCCCCTGAGCTTTCACGCCCCGAAACCGCAAACCCCTACAATCCCCAAATGCCGAAAAACAGCGAAAAGCCCCGCAGAAAAAAAACAAAAACTAAAGCCAAACCCACCCAAACAGGCACCCCAAGCCCTCCTAAACCCAAAAAGCTCTGATGAAACCTTCCAAAGCCCCTGAAGCACCTAAAGACCCTAAACCCGAACCCTAAACCCTAAACCCTAAACCCTAAACCCTAAACCCTAAACCCTAGGCGTATCGGCTTTCAGCCTTCGCTGCAAGACATGGTGGGTTTCGCTTTCAGTTTGCACAGTCAATTTTCTGCCAGGCAGGGACCACTTCGCATGATGGTTTCAGCCGCGGCCTTTTTTTCGGGGTTTTGCCTTGTAGCCTCAAGGGCTACTACGCCACCCCAGTTTCGAGCCATGACGGATGGCACAGGGGCCGCAGAGAGCCTCATGGAGGCCAGGCGCGTTTACAGCGAGCAGGCCACCTTGGTACAGGGCCCAGCGTACGCCGCCTCACAGCAGTTGTTCTTCGAGCAGCGCAGGGTTGCCAAGCGCGGCCCCCCGACACCGGCCTTTTCCTCAACGGGGCTGGCCACCCCAACCGGAGACACCTTTGGCCCAACGGCTCCAACCGCCTCAGGGAGTACTCCGCCGGCAAAGCAAGACACTGGTCTTTTCCAGCCCATGCACTACCAGCAGGAGACGGCCTTTGTAGCCACAGCCCACTCCGCCGGTGTCAACGCAAACAACCCGACAGATATGGCCCTATGGATGAAGGAAACGATTTCCACCAGGGCGCAAGTCCTGGACACCATCCGGCATTACCACACCGCCGTGATCCGTCCTGAACTCTACAATTTGATCAACCAAGTTGAGGCAGCATTGGTCTCGCTGGACGATAGACTACTACGCCAATCCAAGGAGTTAGCTTGGATGGCTTCAGAGAACAGAGCCCTCCAAAAGCAAAGTGCTGCACTCATGGTCATTTTGACCGGCTGGGATACGAGCATGTCGCCCTCCGAACGGCTCTTCATGGTCAATTGGATGCTCGAGCAGATCACCCACGTCCAGGCCTTCTTGCAGCAGAGGGGGTGGGCCAACTTCGACGGCGAGTACAAGTACCTCAATGTCCTCTCTGCAGACCCGTCTACTCCGCCGGCAGGGGCACAGAAGTGGAGCTCGGTAACGCTACTCAGCTTCAAATCCTGGGACCTGAGAAAGGCGTTCATGGAGGCATATGGTGGCACTCAGGGTACCCCACTGTACAAGGATGCGCGCACTCCAGTACCCCGCCACCATATCAGGGCTACACCTTCGAGCCCCCAATTCCAACGAAAGTTGGAAATTCCAATCCGAGTACTCCTCCAGGCCCTCAACCTCAAGGAGGAGACCGAGCCCCGCCAGGTGGTGATCTTGTGGAAGACGCTCACGGTGATGTCGCCCCAAATGGCGCGCGGCTTTGATGAGCAAGCCACCGCCTGCGCTCGCCTCCACTACTACGCCGAGGGGGAGCAGTTCAAAGGCATCCTCGAGATCACAAAGGTCATCTCCGACTGGCTTGCAACCACTCCGCCCGATGAGTTGATGACAGAGGAGGACACGATTTGGTCCTACAGCTGGAACAAGATCGTCTTCGGGGTCCAGCAGGAGATGGATGCAGCAGAGCGCGACCACTTCGCCAACGCCAAGGCTGCAGCAAAGGGCACGGGCAAGGGGATGCTTGCTGGAAAGGGGTCCCGTCACTGGACGGCCCCGATGATCTACTCCGCCAGCTCGATGCCGTACCCGATCGACCTCGAGATCAGACTGGTGTCCCAAGTGGCCTACGTTTGGGATGAGTATTGTGATAAGTTTGGCGAAAACAGCCGCAAATGCGGCGACTACCGCCAGGCTACTTTTTCCGGAGCCCCGGTTGCGGCTACTCCGCTTCTCACGGCCCCCACGGCCTGAAGGGTTCCGGCTCGAATTCGCGATCTAGCCAGGGAGGTACGTACCTCTTTTTATCTCCAGGCTACTGCGCCGCTCCCCCACAATTTCAAGGTACTCCTCGAAGGCAACTTCACATTTGAAACTTTCTTAAAGGAATTGCTTCGAGATGTTTTAAGTCAGGGGTTGAGCAGGCCTTCCACCCACAACCACCCCGCCCCCCATATGATAAGACTTTACCCTTTCAGAGTTTCCAGGTTTTTGGGTGCCCCGGGTGTTGCACGATCGCGGTCGCACGCTGAGTTTGTAGAGGTCGCCAAACAAACCCTCACAGCTAAAGACCTGCAGTGGGATATGAGGGTTGTTCGTAGAAGCCGAAAGAGACCCAATAAACTCCCAACTAATCCTCACCTTCAGGCTTCATGCACCTACATTATCTTCGCCTTCTTATGCGTCTTTTACTACACCTCAACCACTAGATCCTCTTTCCCCATTGTCCTTATGGATTCTCTGGTAGTTCATTCTACAATATGTTCACTTATCAAGTATGGGATAAGCCAGTGGGAGCTTCTGCAACAGCTACTCCGCAACAAATTACAACACATCAAAAACGGGAACACAACAACATTACAGCTAGATCTTCTAATTCCCCACAAGTACACTGAGTACCCTCAACCCACTATGGAGTACAGCTTCATTCATCAAGCCAAACTTAGCCGTGATTTTCTCCTTTCCCAACGACCCATTAGCCCCCCAAAGCTTCCCGAAAATTCCCCTTTCCCTCAACTCACTCCCAGACCCAAAACAAGAACGGGTAGGCGAGTCTCTTTTCGTTTCACAGATGGTCGTAAGGTAAACTACACCCGAAGACCACTCCGCCATTTTTCGGCCAGCCGGCCCTTCCGCCCACCAACGAATTCACAGAAGGATAGGCCAACACCCTCCACGAGGCACGCCGGGACCCGGGCAACCGGGAGACGAAGAGTGTATCACCCCTCCCCCCCCTTCTTCAGTCCACCCTCTAGGTTTGGGTGCCCGCTCTAGACGCCTTCGACGGCAGCTTTTCCGCCGTTGGCGCAGGAGCGTGGGTGGGCCTATATTACCAGCAGCGTCGGGCAGCGCACTGGTAAAAGGGGGGGTGCCCTTGAAAGCAGTCAAAAGTAGGCGCCAAACCGGGGTACGAAATTCGTACCTTTTCAAAACCCTCATACTAAGGCCTGAACAAATCGGCAAGCAAAAAAAGGCTACTCCGCCAGCAGTAGCCCCACCACCCTTGCCGTATGGACAACCTTTTAAAATAGGTACACAAAACGTACAGGGAATGGCCGAAATACTAAAACACCAGTCAGTCCTCACTTTACTCCGTAGTAGAAAGCTTGACGTCCTTTTCCTCACCGAAACACGCAACACAACATACCACCAATTCACCTCAGAGGGGCACAGGTTCATTAGCAATGGCAGTAACAAGGACAAGTTCGCAGGAGTGACAGCAATCATTCCCCCCCAAACTCTACCACACCTCAAAGATGTAGTTCAGCATAGTGCGAGGATCCTTCAAATCACACTAGCAGCATCGGCCGGAGATGTTCACCTCATAGGAGTCTACTCCCCACACAATAAACGAGATGTTGAAACTAGCAAGCTCCCCTTCTGGGATAAGCTAGACTCGGTATTGCACAAAATTCCTCAACCAGAGCCGGTTTATATCATAGGGGACTTCAATGTGAGACTACAAGGTAGAAAACCAGATGAACATCACATGTTGGGCCCCAATGTATATGGTAAGGGAAGACTCAGTATACCAACCACAGAAGGTAACAACAGAGAGCTCTATCTGAGATTCCTGAGTACCTCTGAAGCTAAGGATGTTCTAACCTACAAGCAGAGTACCTCACTTGCTACTCCGCCTTAGTGCACGAACAACAACGACCAACCATCGACCCGCACAGCTTCCAGGCACTGGACCGTTTGGTCACCAGATCCAAATGGTTACCTACGGTTCAACAATGCCAAGCAGTTCATAGCACAGGATTTGTTAGTGACCATTATCTTCTAGAATCAGTCATTCGGGTTAAACTCAAAGCCCAACCACCCTCCACAATCAAACCTCCTGCAAGAGATTACTCCGCCATAGACTACTCCGCTAAAACCCTGTTCAATCACACGTTTAAAAAATGTACCAAACACAAATCCATACCCAATCTCAACACAACTGACGCCAATTGGGCAGTATACACGGATGGGTCGGGAAGCAAAGGCCGTTGCTCGGCCACTACTCCCGCAGGCTGGGGCTACACAATCATAACAACCAATCAAGATTCAATTGCCTCAAAAGGTCCAGTCAGCACTGATCCACATGCAGCAGTTCACCTAGGAGCGACAGTAGGCAGTAATAATACAGGAGAGCTGAGCGCCTGGATGGAAGCGGCATTGTACATACTAACATTGACCACTCCGCCTAAACAAATTTCCTTCTACTACGACAGTCGTTGGATGTCAGACGCTGTAAGGGGTAGATCTAAGGCTAAAAGACACAAAACCATGATTAAATATGCACGTATCTTATTGGCAGAGTTGCAAAACCGCACCACAGTAGATTGGTTTTGGGTCAAAGGCCATTCAGGAGACCACTTTAATGAAATAGCGGACAGGTTAGCAGAAGAAGGAAAACAAATACCTGACCCAGTGGGAGGTAGGCACGACATCACCCCTCTTCTCACCCCCTCGGAGTTCATTGAACCAGTACAATCTACTGACCACTCCGCGTTGGAACGCCTCAATTCCACATTAGTACGAGCTCTGCACAAAGCTGAGTCGCAACACATACCACTACTGAAACGCAAGCCCAAGCAGCCCTGGATGACGCAGGAACTACTACAACAGTTCCATGAAGTTAGGCACCTAAAATCCATTGACCACTCCGCCCATATCAAAAAACACAAACTCCTTAAAAAACAGGCCCGTAAAATAAAAAGGGAATGGACACGCGAGCAGTTGCTTTCTGACCCCAACCCGTCACACACCAAAATCTGGAAACAAGTCCAGAGCTTCAAAAAAGGTTTTAGAGCTAGGAGAACCAGACTAAAAGTTTCAGGCACACCAGTCCCATGGACGAACACGCACAAAATCTTTAGAGATCACCTCCAAAACAACCAGTGGTCCCCACCGGACGTCACCGAGGAGGAAATCGAACTACTCCGCTCTTCCCCCCCGCTTTACAAGACCGACGAACTTGACCCCCTTCCCTTTCAACATGAAGAACTCTACGCTGCCATCCAGGGTATAAGAAAAGGCAGGGCCCCAGGACTAGACGGCGTAAAGGGAGAAATAATATTACTCCTCGACCACTACGGTGAAACCCAGCTACTCCGCCTTATGAACGCTTGCCTCAGAGCCAGGAAGGTCCCCTCTTCATGGAAAGAAGCGCTCGTGGTAAGCATCTACAAGGGCAAGGGATCAGACTCAGACCCCTCCAATTACAGGCCGATCTCCCTTCTAAACACGTTTTACAAAATCTACTCCGCCATGCTGCAAAAAAGACTAGCCACTAAACACGACGCACAACTACGCTCCACCCAGTACGGCTTCCGTGCAAAAAGAAGTACAAAACAGCCATTGTTTATCCTGCGCAGGCTCCAAGATTACTCCGCCAAAACAGGTCAGCCTTTCCAGCTTCTCTTCTTAGATTGGAAGCAAGCGTTCGACAAAGTTAGCCACCCCGCCATGATGGTCGCCCTTAACAGATTAGGAGTGCACCCCACTTACATTGAAATCATAACAGACCTCTACACCGACCCCCAATTTTGCACTCAAGGATTCTCTCAAGAAAAAAGTTGGGGCACGCCTAAAAGTGGCATACGACAGGGCTGTCCACTCAGCCCTTACTTGTTCATCATGATCATGACAGTATTGTTCCACGACATCGACGCTCGGCTTAGGAGCGAGGGTACACCGCAAAACACTTGGTCAATAGGCAAGCCCATTTATGATCTAGAATACGCAGATGATACTCTTCTAATGGCAGTCACGGCACCACAGCTCGAATCATTTTTGGCATGCGTACAGGTAGAAGCATCTTTATATGGATTACAACTCAATTACACGAAAACCGAACTACTCCGCCACCCCAGCGCACAGGCAGACATCAGCTTTGCCGATGGCACTCCAGTGCCTGTAAGCGATCAGGTTAAATATTTGGGCTCTAGGATCAGCTGGACTACTCCGCCAAAAATCGCCATTCAGCATAGAATGGAACTAGCTCACTCCTCATTCATGAAGCTCCAACACATATGGCAAAGTAAACTACCCATTAAAGTAAAAACCCACATCTTCCATAGCTGCATTGTTCCTGTCCTGCTATACTCCCTGGATGTCCTCACACTAGAAACCCACTCCTTCAAAAAAATCGACGCCTGGTACCATAGGTATCTTAGACGCTCCATTAAAATCAAATCCTCGTACTACTCACACATATCCAACCAGAAGGTTTGGAAAATTGCAGGCAAGCCATACTTGCCCTCCCAAACACTGCTGGCGCAACAATTTGGATTACTCCAGAGCTCTATATTAGCAAGCCCCCAGGACCCCATTCACCATGTAGTGTTCTCTCCCGGATACAAGGACCGAATCAGATTTACTAAGGCCCGCACAAGAGGACACCCCTGTAGATATTGGTTTGAACTAGTTTCCACGGAAGCAGTAAGGTTTTATAACCACCACTCCGCCACAGACCCAGAAGCCCGAAGGGACTTCCTGGGCCTAAAACATTTAATATCCAAAGACACACGGTTTGGCGACCTCTTACGCACTGCGCCAACGCGCGCGCCGAGTATTTTCCCTATGTACAGCAAGCATGTTGGAAGCGCATGGCAGCCCTAAAAAAAAAACCCTAAACCCTAAACCCTAAAGCCCCAACCCCGGAAGTGGCCTCCGCTGAAGTGGCGAGGGCGAAGTCGCCCGAGCGGACGTCGGTGCTGGCGGGATTTGGGGCGTTTTTTTGGGGGTTGACGTCGGGTTTTAAGGGAGCCATGGTTTCAAACTCAGCCAACAGGTGTTTGTGGTAATCCAGAACCTCATCTCCCGATGGGTGCAGATCAATGTGCAACGCGCTGCGCACGCACTGGGTCCGGAACTGGACATCTGCGTTTTCGGCTATGTGCTGGGCAGTCACAGTAGTCAACCCACGGGCCAAAATCGAAGGATCCGGGGCAACCATACCACACTCCAAACAACGGCGATGCCAACGACCCCCTGCGAATTTCAGGCCCATGCAATTTCGCCTTTTGTCGGGACCCTAAGCCCAAAACCCTAGGAGGCTGCAAAGGCCAGGTCGTCCTCCCTTCTCCCTGGACCCCAAACATCCTTACGCCTCGGAGCCCTAAAAGCGAGAGCCATGCCCTGTACCAACGACACATTAGGGACCAGGGTATCAAGGCCTTGTAGAGGACCAACTTCAGTGTTGGAAGGGGGTTCGCTGCCCCACAAACCCTGCCCAGCAACTCGCCCTGGCTCGAGAACCCAATTGCTTCCATTGACACTAGGACATCAGCATTGTTTCGGGTTTAGGGTTTAGGGTTTCGGGTTTGGGGTTTAGGGTTCATTGTGTTATTTTGAGAACAAATACTAGCAAGCATTCTAATATTCTTCGTCTTGCTACAATTCGTAAAAGTAGACATGTAATGATGCCACGGTTACTGCTGGTAGTATTGTCATCAGTACTATCACTCTTAAGCAATATGCTTTGGTTATGGCACACTATTTGCATTTTAATATACCCCCTAATACTATTCCGATCTTTCTCATTGCGGCCACACGCTAAGCTGCCCGGCCTTTGCTACACAAAAGGCACTCTTAAATCTTCACCCAACTCCTGTGCTTTGAGACGGTCCTCGTGGTGGTGGTTCCGGCGAGCTCCGAACATTACCTGAAGTTGACAAGTCTAATTATCATAACAAGGTGGCTTCTATTTATCCTTGCTTGCACGAGAAGAACCAAAACTGTAGAACTGTAGGTTCCCATCGCAAGTAAACCCGTACGATCCAACAAAAAACTCGAGATTCAACTCCGCAGCCTTTGACCACACGCGACTGCGACTTCCGCTTCCAGGCGCCCCTGCTTTCAGTGAGCCCCTCCTCACCGGGTGGCCTGGGAAGGGTGGGGCAACCCTGGGGGTGTAAACACTTCCATGCAAGCCTTTCCGGGGCATCCTGCTTCCTGCTGGAGCGACACTTGCGACCACTTTTGCAAGAAGGATGCGGCAGCGGCATTCCCCAATCATTTAGCGCCTACCAATCAGTCACATAGTAGGGAGCACCCGTGCTTCAACGACACCCCTCATAAGCGCTTCAACCTCCACCCTTAACCCCGAAAAAAACCCTAAAGCGCCTTAAGCCCTAAACCCCGCCCAAAGTCCCCAAAGCTCCTCCTAAACCCTTACCCCTAACCCCTAAAACCCTAAAACCCTAAAACCCTAAACCCCAAACCCTAAACCCTAAACCCTGGAAGCCAAACTTCAAGGACCGTAGGCGGCCGAAACGCCTGGGTGGGCGTCCTGCCGAGACGGGCGAGGAGGCCTTCAGCCGGTCTCGCGGAGGGTCAAGGGTTTGGGGTTTAGGGTCTGGGGTTTGGGGCTTAGGGTTTCGAGTTTAGTGTTTGGGGTTTAGGGTTTGGGGTTTAGGGTCTGGGGTTTGGGGCTTCGGGTTTCGAGTTTAGGGTTTGGGGTTTAGGGTTTCGGGTTCAGGGTTTGGAGTTTAGGGTTTGATTGTTTAGGGTTTAAGGTCGTGGTTTAAGATTTGGGGTTTAGATAGGTTTAGGGTTACGCTTATCTGAGGCATTTAGGGTTTGGAGGGTTTAGGACTCCAAGGCTTTCAATTAGGATTCATATGGGTTTAACGGGCTCAGCGTTTATGTTGGGACTTTCTGTTCTGAGGTTTGTGGTCGGTCATTGAGTTTCAGGGTTTGGGCGGCTGCGACAAAGCTCAGATGCTACAGCACCCAACACGCTGAAGATCATGTGTCTACTTGGCGAACCCTTCATGTACACCCTGGGGCCCCCTACCAAGTCGTAGGCGGGAACTAGAAAGCCGGGCTTCGCTTCTCCCTGCAGAGGCCCCAGAAGCAACGGCATTGGAGTGTAGGGTTCGGATGGGTTCAGATGGGTTCAGGGTCCACAGGGTCTGAAACAGAAGGCGTCTGTGCCTTGCTCAAAAGCATTTTAGGTGGCACCCACCCCCCCCCCCCCCCAGCCACCGGTCCCACGTGCCTTAGAAGCCATTGCGCATCCTGACTGTAGGCCAGCGGAAAGCTTCACCCAGTTGTGGCTGCAGCCTATGGCTTAGGGCTTCAGAACCGTCTGTGCAGCATGGGGCCGGTGCAACGGCCCATGTCTTGGCACGACGAGGAAGACCAGTGTGCGAAACGCCGCCTGTGTTTACCTATCCCTGCTTCTTCTGCCAATTGCCGCGCAGCTGGTTACAAAACGGTTTCGGGGCAAGAAGACAAGCCCCGAGAAACCGGAATGGCCTGCTTAAGTGAAAAAACCTAAACCCTGACCCCGATACCCTGATACCCTGATACCCTGTACTACCCGAACACCCTACTACCCTAGAATAACCTGAGACCCTAACACCCTAATTCGTCGGTGCACGAAGCCGGATGCTGGCCAGTCCTCAGCGCACTGAGCGTGCCGGCAGCCCTGTGAGCCAAGTTCAAAGGGCCGAGATTACAAGATGTGCGAGAGGTAGCTTACTTAGGGGTTTGGGGTTTGGGGTTTGGGGTTTGGGGTTTAGGGTCTAGGGTTACAGGCTGAGGGCTGCAGAGGAGTTCCAGACTTTTCGGCTGCCAGTGTTTGTTGTAAGGCTTCGGCGTTGATGGCTACGTAGTGGGTGCGAGGGCGTGAGGGCCTGCTTCTTGGAGTTTGAAACATGCTTGTTCGTACACGCACGTTGTAACATGATTGATGGAACCGGAGAAGCTGAGCAAAGTTGGCGTGTGCAAGCCCAGAAAGCAATGAGGCTTGATTTTGCACTCATTGGAATAACTCTACCGTAGATGTACTTGAAAATGCCATATCATCTTCAGAGGCACCGATACTGATTTTGGGATGCAGCCTTCGAACTGATCCCCAAGCCACCCAGAATAATGACTCGCACCGACGACCCAGAAAGGACTTTCGACCCCTGGCCAAGAAAGCAACCCCTAAACCCTAAACCCTAAACCCTAAACCCTAAACCCTAAACCCTAAACCCTATTCTCCGAACCTGGCGGCGGCTTGACCGATGGCAGCCATGGCGAAAGCGACGTCGCGTCAGAAGGGCTTGGAGCTTTGGGTGCTGGCTGCTCCGGCTTTCCAAGGTTCCTGGGGTGTAGGGTTTAGGGTTTAGGGTTTTAGGGTTTTAGGGTTTTAGGGTTTTAGGGTTTTAGGGTTTAGGGTTTTAGGGTTTTAGGGTCTTAGGGTTTTAGGGCTTTTGGGTTTTTGGGTTTTTGGGTTTTTGGGTTTTTGGGTTTAGGGTTTTAGGGTAGGGTTTAACGCTGGATGACTTGGGTACAAGCGCGGGGTGGACACTTTGGTGGTCCGGGGGTGCTGAGAAGGGTTGAAAGTATCCAGAACTTCCTGCCCTACTCCCTCCACCCTGTCCTAAAGCCTCAAATGCAAAGAAGTGAGGAGCCACGTCAAGATCCTTCAATCCATGAAAGGTTTTGGGATTTGCGTGTTCTTAGGGCCTGAAAAACCGAGGGTCATACTAGGAAGTGCGGGAGCGATCTGCTTTCTGTTCAGTCATACACGCAAACTGTAAGAAAAACTGTGAGCCAGGCACTCAATTTTCCCAAAATTCGGTTGCTGCAGCTTTGGCGAAGGGACCGGGTGCGAACACCGTGACGTGCAATGCGCATGTTGCGCTAAGTGCCCCACGAAACTCATACTGTGGGGGGGGGGGGGGGGGGGGGTTGCACCTTAACAGTGGTGTAGGGATTCAAGGTGCCTTGAGGAGAGATCGACTTTTTCCTTCAATGGAGCTGAAGTGGGAGATTCGGGCAAAAAAAAACCCAAACCCTAAACCCTAAACCCTTAAACCGTGGATGTTGGAGCTCGGGCTTCTAGCTCGGCAAAGTGCTCGCAGCAGGCCCCCGGCAGTGCGTTATTCCAAGACCGTCGCAGTCCCACACGTGCAACGCCCACAACAATTGATGAAGGCTTTGGGGATTCCAGGGAAGAAAGTGGTTTAGGGTTTAGGGTTTTGGGTTTAGGGTTTTGGGTTTAGGGTTTAGGGCTGAAGTACACCAGTGCCACAACATCCAAGGCGGCCATGACTTTCTTGGAGCCTTGGGTTCTGGGATGAACTTGTCATAAGAACTCGTTGAAGCCCTGAAGCTCTGCAGCACCTAAAGCCCTAAACCCTGCACCCTAAACCCTAATTAAACCCTAAACCCTTGGATGCACTATGAACTCTGGGACAGCGGAGTCGAAACTGTCTCTCGGAGCTCAGGCAAAGAGCGGACTCCAAAGGAGAACGCTGGGCTTAAGTCTGTGCCCTAAACCCTAAACCCTAAACCCTAAACCCCAAACTCTGTGCCCTTGGGATGTTCCCCCATATACTAGCAGTCCTTTATAGGGATTCTAACAGGGGGTACTATAATCCCTATTCAAGGACTGTTAGTATAAGGGGGACCATCCCAACTTTGCACCCTCAACCCTTCTGACTAAAAGGCTTACTGGCTCATTCTTAGTAGGGAATGAGGGAAAGAGGTACCCTGTATAATCCCTTAAGTTAGAGGGTATAGGATTCCCTCCTTCCCTGCTCAGAATCAGGGGTTTTCGGGGTTCAGGGATGAGGGTGTGCAGCCCCCCCCCCCCCCCCCCCCCATGAAAACCTACCAAAGCCTGTGCCACCTAATGGTTTCGAGCCACAATTAGAGCAAACCCCCTGTGAGCCTGAAGGCATGAAGCATCCTCAGGTGCCCCCACAGCACCCAACATCGGCCTCTCTGGCAACTTAGAATTTCGGGAAGCTCAGGTGTAATCTCAGTGCAAGTACGTCTGAACATACGCATGAAACAATAGAATATAGGACGGAATTCAGCGCAACAAGATGCAATCGAGTATTATGCTACAATATAAGGCCATGTCCCATAGCCTTGGTACTTATTTGCGTTTCCTGTATTTACCGCCCCCGGCAGGCCCTTTTCTCTTTACGTTTCGTGTCTTCGCGAGAGTGGAGGGGCAGGGATTTGGGCCTTGAGTGTAGGGTGTAGGGCTTCTATAGGGTTAGGGGGACAGATGCCGCACCAAAAACCCAAGATTCTAAGACCTACAATCCCGCTGTGTCTCCTTTCTCCATCCAAAGCGAATTTCCTACTAAGCATATGTCAAAGTGCCAGCTGATTCGAAGCAGCATGCCAAAACCGTTTTCGGGATGGTTTTGGGTCCCCAGAATACAGCCTCAAAAAGTCCTCCGGATCTGCAACTTCAAAGAATTGCACCTTGAATCGACCTACTGATGTCTCAAAAGCCGAAAGGCCTAGGTACATCCACTACGCCTCGCTGGCTCGAGTTTGGGACTTTATGGTGGGGGGTTTGGGCCGGCGCGCGCCAAAAGAATCAAAGCTGGCTCCGGCATGCTTGCTGGTGAAGCTCGCTGCTGGCCCTGAAGTACGATTTGCCCAGGTTTGCCTGGTTTTGCAGGAAGCAGGTTGAAGGTTTAGGGCTTAAGTCCTCGAAGTCGGGGTGCTTTGAGCCTTGGCTTGAGGTTTCAGAAGTCACGCACAGTAGGATAGTGAGCTTGTGGCCAATCTGACGGTACAGCCACACAACCGTACCGACAAGGGGCTTCAACATCTTCAACAACAAGAGGACGCCACTTTGAACTGATGAACCTAGATGTCCTAAACCCCATAACCCTAAAACCGTTAAAGCTTTCAAATCCAAAAGTCCTCAAGCTCCAAAGCCATCAAACCCTAAAGCATTAAAACCCTTACAACCATGGAGCAGTGTAGTCCTAACACATTGGCTTGCAGGACCCTCAGCGGCACGATGCACACTGGTCTACTATAGTTCAAGCTGGTAGGTGCCCAGTTCTGGAGGGGGGGGAGGGGGGGTTTGGAAGTTTTTTGGGGTGCTTTGGCTGTTAGGGTTGATCCCCAACCTGCCATGGCTCATGGGTTAGGGTTGCGCTTGAAGGAATTTAGGCACCTACGCAAGAGCTGTCTCTGGGGCTCCTTTGGCCGTTCGAATTGCGCCCTCCGGCAGCTATGGTGCAAGATGGGGGTTTGTGTGTTGCAAGGAAGCTCGCAAGTTCTCAAGTCCCACTCTCTACATTTGCCCAGGTGACAGGGCCAAGCTGTGTCAAGTAATAGACTCAAGCCCAGACCTAGGAGGAGACAAACTCAAAGCTACAACGAACACGATTCAGATATGAAGGTGAGTAGGGCGTGTCGGTTTCAGGGTCTAATCTCGGGAGTTGAGGTTTTTTGTGGTCTGCTTCCAGCGTCCTATCAGCCAAGAGGACGTAATGGCATAAACAGTTGGGTGGAAACGTCTCTCACAAGCAAGTTGCACTTCGACAAACCTGACGGAGCACGACTGGTGGGGTTGTTGCGGCTTGCTTCACCTGTTTGGCCAACTCACCTCCAACCTCAAAGTTCACCCCGATGTCATACACCCCTAAGCCCCAAACGTGAACAACCCTTCTAAGGAATTCTGAAGCGCCAGCCATGGCCCACGCTCAACTCTCACATTTTTAGCCACTAGTCCATGCTTGAGGTTCAGGGTTTAGGGTTTCTGCTTTATTAGGGTTTAGGGTTGCAAGCCTCCCCCCTCGCCGGAACACAAACAGGAACGTCGGAAACGACGAACGACGTAGAAGCTCGAACTGAGCATCATTGGAATCGGCCATGATTCTGGATAACACATGCCTAGGTTGACGCAGGATGGGGTCTTGGGTTGAAGCCGCATTGGCCGAGGCTTAAGGAGGCATTGGCGAGGCTTAAGGAGGTTAGGGTTCATACGCTTGAGGGTGTAGGGCAACGTAAGGGTTGAAGGTTCCGTGAAGTGTGCTCTGAAGTTGAAGGGCTGGAAACAAAGGAAGCCCAACGACACAACGAACAACTTCCTGGCACGCTCCATCTAAACTGCTTAACCTGCAGAATCCTACGCCAGGCCTGCATCACTTCTTGACCAGGACGCGCATGACCTCATCAGAAGCATGAAAAGCACGGGTCCGGTTGCATCAGTCCCCGACCCGGTCTAGCTTCGCACAGGGATCTGATTGCTCAATGTGCCACTCAAAGCATGCTTGATTGCAGACCTGTTTTGTTGGAAGCGAAGACTTTGTACATGTAGTCGTGGACAGAAAACTAATAGTGGCTGACAAGATGGGTCAGAACCCGGTCAGTTCAGAGGGACGCATCAGAGGGTACTGACCCTTGTGCCCCCGATGCAGGTCCCCGCCACTTTTGCTGCAGCTGGAGGCACCCCTGATGAAAGGCCCGGTTCTCTGAGAGCATGAAATAGGAGAAGGCTCCACGAGGGAAGTCTGTGTCGCGACATGAACGAAGTGGGTTCAACATCCCAGCCCCAAGATGCAGCAGTCCAGCGAACACGGTTGGAAAAAACAGCACACATAAGACCTCCACCACTGCCGTCACGTAAGTCTGAAGGCGAAGCGCCCGAGCAATTACCACAGCTGATGTAATCGCTTGTAGGATATTGTGCATCCCAACAACGATGCCCAAGCCATGCATGTAGCGCAGCGGAACCTGAGTATCGACATACGCCAGCGTTGCCCCAATGGCTCCACGAGCCTGACAACACAGACGTTGTAGATTTGGCATGGTCGTGACTGGGAACGGCAAGCGGCTCCCCCCTAACTCTGCTGGACCATACGCCAAATGCGCGAGATAGGACGTGGCCCATGCCCACACCACCTGGCCCTTGGAGGGCAAAGGTGCCAAAACTTCGCACTCGTCGTCTTCCAGAAGCCCGCTCTGTTTCAGATCGTTCAAATCTGTCTCACCCAGGGCTTGCTTGTACATCAGCTCATGTGACAAGACCGCCCATCGAAGCAATCGCTCGCGCACCTCGGTGTCCTCCGGTGACTCACTTGGGAAGTAGCTAGTTAGAAGTAGTGTGAGGTCATTGATCGCACCCCAAAGGCTCCCAATACAGTCGTTGCGCATGGCCCACCATCGGGTCACACAGGTCGCCATGAAAAAGCCCAGGAGGAACACCTGGCTCACAGCTTGCTCCTTGAAAAATGCTGCAACTGCCCTAGTGAACATGCTGAAATTCACATGTCCGTAAGAAAGACAGGGCAACATCCAAGAAATGCCAGCCGAACGGCCGGTGGCCGACTGAGAATCAATCTTACTTCTACGTTCTGCCACCGGCACCCTTTCGGTTTAGTTAGTGTCAATTCAAGAGATTCTAAGCCGAAGAAAGGTAAGAGGGGCACTGCTGGGCATCCTAGAACTTGCTGTCCGGGAGCCGTCACCGTGCGCACCGAGTGCGTCATGTTGATCAGCAGGGTTGTGGTCGCCTCTGGCTGCGGCGTTCCGAGGTGATGAAAAAGCAGCGCAGCCGCACAACTGAGTACGGCGTACCACCATGTCCTCAGCTGTTGCGCAAGGTCGCATGATACATATATATATATATATATGCTACCCCCCCCCCCCAAAGATCTAGGTGTTTTCACGATTTAGCGATATCAAGTTGAAGACCTGCATGGGCCCGGAAGGGGCCTAAACGCTTCACCTTTAAACCCTATAGGCTCTAGGGTTAAGGTTTGAGGGTTTAGGCTTAAAAAGTAAGCCCATAGAGTTCAGACCCCAAAGAAACGCTTAACCTTTAAACCCTATAGGCTATGGGGTTAAGGTTTAAAGCTTTAAGATTCAAGATTTAGCCATCTAAACCCAAGCCCACCTTAAGGGTTTCAGGTTTTAAACCCTCATGGCTTAAGAAATACCTAAGCCGTTAGACCCTATAGGGCTGAAAGGTAAAGAGAGCGTAATGTCTGGGCATTTATACTTTCAACGCCTATAGGGTTAAACCCTTTTAACGTTTTAGAGCCCTACAGGGCTTCAGGGTTCTGACCCTAAAGGGCTTAGGCTTAAACCTTAAACCCTTAAGGTTGAAGCTCTATGGGCTTATGTTTTAATGCCAAAATCTTAAACCCTAAGCCCTTCAACCTTAACCCTATGGCCTATAGGGTTTAAAGGTTAAGCGCTTCGGGCCCTTAAGGTTTAAACTCTATGGGCTTGCTGTTGAACTTTTCAACCCTAAACCTTTAAACCTGAACCGTGCCTAAACACTTAACCTTTAAGCCCTATAGGGTATAGGGTTACGGTTTAAAGGATTAGGGTTTAAAAGTTCAATAGTAAGCCCATATAGTTTAAGCCCTTAAGGGGCCTAAACGCTTCACCTTTAAACCCTATAGGCTCTAGGGTTAAGGTTTGAGGGTTTAGGTTTTAAAAGTAAGCCCATAGAGTTCAGACCCCAAGGAAACGCTTAACCTTTAAACCCTATAGGCTATGGGGTTAAGGTTTAAAGCTTTAAGATTCAAGATTTAGCCATCTAAACCCAAGCCCACCTTAAGGGTTTAAGGTTTTAAACCCTCATGGCTTAAGAAATACCCTAAGCCGTTAGACCCTATAGGGCTGAAAGGTAAAAGAGGGCGTAATGTCTGGGCATTTATACTTTCAACGCCTATAGGGTTAAACCCTTGTAACGTTTTAGAGCCCTACAGGGCTTCAGGGTTCTGACCCTAAAGGGCTTAGGGTTCTCGTTTAAATGCTTAAACCTTAAACCCTTATGGTTTAAGCTCTATGGGCTTGTGTTTTAATGCCAAAATCTTAAACCCTAAGCCTTTCAACCTTAACCCTGAAGGTTAAGTGTTTAGGCACGGTTCAGGTTTAAAGGTTTAGGGTTGAAAAGTTCAACAGCAAGCCCATAGAGTTTAAACCTGAAGGGCCCGAAGCGCTTAACCTTTAAACCCTAGAGGCCATAGGGTTAAGGTTGAAGGGCTTAGGGTTTAAGATTTTGGCATTAAAACATAAGCCCATAGAGCTTCAACCTTAAGGGTTTAAGGTTTAAGCCTAAGCCCTTTAGGGTCAGAACCCTGAAGCCCTGTAGGGCTCTAAAACGTTAGAAGGGTTTAACCCTATAGGCGTTGAAAGTATAAATGCCCAGACATTACGCTCTCTTTTACCTTTCAGCCCTATAGGGTCTAACGGCTTAGGGTATTTCTTAAGCCATGAGGGTTTAAAACCTTAAACCCTTAGGGTGGGCTTGGGTTTAGATGGCTAAATCTTGAATCTTAAAGCTTTAAACCTTAACCCCATAGCCTATAGGGTTTAAAGGGCTGAGACTTTATAAAACGTGAGCCCGATTATTGAAACGATTGAAATTCAATCGGGGGCCCGATTGAAAAACGATTGAAACGATTGAAATTCAATCGGGGGCCGGATTGAAGATTGAAGATTGAAGATTCCCAGAAAAAAGCTTTCCGGGAATCTTCAATCTTCAATCTTCAATCCGGTCTCCGATTGAATTTCAATCGTTTCAATCGTTTTTCAATCGGGCCCCCGATTGAATTTCAATCGTTACTTCTGAGACTTTATAAAACGTGAGCCCGATTGAAAACGATTGAAACGATTGAAATTCAATCGGGGGCCCGATTGAAAAACGATTGAAACGATTGAAATTCAATCGGGGGCCGGATTGAAGATTGAAGATTGAAGATTCCCGGAAAGCTTTTTTCTGGGAATCTTCAATCTTCAATCTTCAATCCGGCCCCCGATTGAATTTCAATCGTTTCAATCGTTTTTCAATCGGGCCCCCGATTGAATTTCAATCGTTTCAATCGTTTTCAATCGGGCTCACAATTTGAAAATACGACCACGCACATATGAAGACTCGCACATATCAAGATTTACATGTCCATATTGAGATTTACATGTTTAGCTAGCCCCCCACCCCCAACCCTAAAACCCTAAAACAGATCCCAAAACCACGAAAATACCTAGATCTTTGGGGGGGGGGGGGGGGGTACCATATTTGGGGGGGGGGGGGGGGGTACCATATATATATATATGCATAGCTGTTTATTTATTCTTTCTAGATGTGCAGGCATACTTATAGTGCATAATGTCAAGAGATCGAAAAGTGAAGATGGACCTAAGTATATAATTATTGCCTAAAAGATACAATGTATGAGAGATGGGATGCACCGTAGAAAAAAAACAGCGGGCAAACCACATGACATGTAATGTGCAGCCGATGAGGGAGCACTGAGGCGCCCGCCGGCTGCGCCTTCTGAGGAAGGAGGCTGTTGTGCTCACAGCTGCAAGTATTCCGGTAGTCCTCTGGAAGGGTTGAGGATTAAGGTTTCAAAGGGTGGAACGACGAAGCACAAAGTTAACAGTTGTTAGCAAGAAACGCCCAGGAGTCATGAGGTTGTCATCATCGTTGTACTTTAAGACTTGCGTGTCGAAGTAAGTGACCAGCTTTGTTTGTTTCAGCCTCCCTTTGAAGTCAGCTTCGGACATGGGCACAGAGGGCGCCCCCAGGTGGGGGCGTCTCGGAAGGTAGCTGGAGCCAGGAGCCATAGGCGGGGGAGCCCGGCCCACAAAGGGAGTCAGACCATGGCCCTGCAACATGTGCAGGAAATGGGTTTAGGGCTCGGGGGCTCTTGGGTTTCGGATTAGGGGCTCTTGGGCTTTTAGGCCTCTTTAAAGTGCTACCTGGGATTTGAAGAAAAGGAGGCCATGACCAGCGGAATGACCAGCTGAGATGTAGCGGAGCCAGAGTTCGGGCGGCGCCACGAGACTTTCAGGGTGCCCCCAGACCTTCACAGGGAAGTTAGGGGAATGGGGGGGCTATAAGGACTGCAACGGCAATGTCCCTTACATCCCACAGTGGGTTTAGGATCCCGGCTGCAGGTGTTGGATTTAGGGGCTTCTGAGTTTTTAGAAGTCGTAAGTAGAGACCCCAAGCACTCCCAAATCATCCTTGAACCTGACGCATGGAGAGCTACGTTCCGAGACTTGCTGGTGCGCCCTGCATCCGTCACGACGCAAAGAGGTCAGCATCAACGAGTTCAGAGCGATGCTTCAGTCCGAACACAAAGAAGCCACCCGATTCCGTTTAAACCCTAGCTGCTACTTGTGAGCAACTGGGTTTGGGAACCTATAACTGAATCCCGAAACTGGACCCTGAGCCTGAATCATAGTTCATGTTGCGATAGTACTAAGAACTTAAATGTCTATTCCTTGTTGAGTTTTACGTACCCTTAACATATTTAAAATGGTACCCCGCCATGACAAAGGAATGCCTTTGGGATCATTTTGGCTCCCGGCCGCCGCGGCGGCGCAGAGCGTGGCCGCGCCCGCGCCGAATGCCAGGGATAGAATCTGTCGTGCAAGGTGAGGGTTTAGGGTTTAGGGTTTAGGGTTTAGGGTTTAGGGTTTAGGGTTTAGGGTTTAGGGTTTAGGGTTTAGGGTTTAGGGTTTAGGGTTTAGGGTGTAAACGTCCCCTGCACCCTAAACCCCAAGTCCTGAATTTACGGGGTCTTGGAGGTTTGGTGTGAAGGAATTTGCAGGTCCAGGGTTAGGAGGTATTGGAGCTGAAGGGATTGGGTGTTGCGGGATTGGGGTACTCAGCAAAAGGGGCTCAGAGTTTAGGATTAATGGGGATTCCTGAGGGATCGATCTTTGGGAAGTTGGGCTTGGGGGTTAAGCCGGTGTTTTTGTGAGTTGGGTTTCAATTTGGGCTTCTGCTGCCTAGGCTGTACGCTGCGCGGTTTTGGCGCTTGCACTTTAAGGTTTGGGAGTGTAGGGTCTACACTAGTCCAGGCCTTTTGTGTCCTGGCCTGGTGCCCACAAGCTCCGGTTCACGCAAAACGGCGTTTAAGAACCCCCGATCCAGCCCAAAAGCCTTATACACACCCCCAAGGAACAAACGACCCCAAACAACCCTCGGCTCTAAAGCCTCAACAAACACCACAAACCCCCCAGAAAACACCCTAAACCAATCTAAAGAAAGGCCCCTAAAACCTGGATGACTGTGAGCCTTGTTTCTGCCCCGCTCCATGCTCTGCGTTCTTATCTTCAGCTCCTGCGACGTCCACAGCGCCCAAGAAGAGGGAGGCGATTAGCTGGGCTAAGGTTTTAGGTGCTTGCGGGCTTAGGCTTAGGAGTTCGGGGGTTAGGGTATGGGGTTGAAGCGAAGAAGGCTGCTGCACTTTTGCAATGGTGATCTGTGCCGAAGACAAATCGAAACAAAACACGTGGCTGGATCACAGTTTTCCTAACATCATTCTAACAATGTCGTGGTCAGGCGTCACGTCGCGCACGTCTCAATCTTTGTCATCTTCCACACAACAGAAGCGTGGCGAGTTAGTATGTGGGGAAGACTAAAATTCAGGCATTCGCACCCACTCTAGCCCTCCTTAGTCTTCGGCTTACCGCCACCGGCCGGCACCCAGCGACTCGACTCAACTACCCCTATTTAGGGTTTAGGGCTTAGGGTTTAGAGTAGTTCCTTAATTACTTGATTGGGTCGCGCAGAGCTTCGGGACGCAACAGCAATTCGCAGCCATAGGGGAATAAACTGAAACAACTGAATATGACGCAGATGAGGAAGCATCATGCAGAAGGAGAAGCCAAGCCACCAAGCCCTCCGACTTTACTCCCCCCCACCCCGCCCACTACAAACTCATATTCCCAGCATACTACGAGCATCCTAGCCTGAACCTACTATAAACCCACGCCTTCGGCGGCCTGTGGCAAGTTGGGGGGGCTTACGGTTTCAATCACTACCTCCGAAACCCGAACCCTCCATGCAGTCAAAGAAATCCTCGAACTTTTTCTCCAGCTCAGTGCCATCCAACAGGTCGGCCTCGATAAGGTCTCCAGGGCTGCTCAGTTTTGGGCTTCTGGGAAACAAGCCGCTGAGCTGTTTGTCTGTAGGACTGTAGGACACGCCATTCCTTACAAAGTGACGGTTGTCCGTGAGGGAGGGACCCGACCGTTGGAGTTATTGGGAAGATCGAAAGGGAGGCCTTTGATAGCGTCGCCTGGGAGATCTTACACGGAAGAGGGGCCCTGATGAGGGCACCAAGCTCGGATCTCATGTTACCCAACGAACGCGCGCAAACGACCCGACATCAACCCTGGAGACCTACAAACCCTTCACCCCAGACCCGCGGAATCCCAGAAAATCCTTGCACCAATCTCTCAACCTCATGGTTCTTGGTCTCAAGCCCTGAATCTCCCAAGTGCTCAGCAAGGTACTTTGGCCCTGAAGGAAGCCCAAATAACCACTCCACAAACCCCACCAAACCTTCCCAATTAACAGCGTGCAACCGACTTCCGGGCCGCCCGACGTGCTCGAGAGGCAGCGAGGAGAAGCTATCGTCGATGGATGACACGCCCTGCAGGGTTCTGTCTGACCTCTGAACTTCTTTAAAGCTTCCGTTTTTCTTCTTCCCTTGTGACTCGGGGTGCTTAGTGTACGGGCATGCTGCGGCTGCGGCCTGATGCTGTCAGTCAAAAGCCAACATGCAGCTCAACACATAGAATGCCTTAGAAGCAATATATATATATATATGTATATGTATATATATATATACATGTGATGGACATGTGTCGAGTTTCTTGGAACAGGCAGCTCCTGGCTGGCGCCATCCACGTAGGATGTCCCATCGGAATAGGACACGCTGCTGGAGCCGGAAGCTGTGTCGACGTAGGGAGTCGCATCCTCGTAGGACGACCCATCCACGTAGGAAGAGGAGCCATCCACGTAGGAAGAACCATCCGCAAGGGAAGACCCATCCACGTAGGAAGACCCGTCCTTGGCTTCGATGATGGGGACTTGGGGTTAGGGTTTCTGGAGCACTCAACTCTCTAAACGCAGACAAGCAGTGGCCGAATCATGTGGCAAATCGAACTGCCACAGTGCAGCTCTATCGGCTGTGCCGCCGGCAGGAAAGGGCAGGCATGGCACAGCACATTTGTAGCAACAAGAACGTTCGGATGTCAACCTTGACATGATCTGCTGGCAGGCGGCACTGAAGCATAAAGCCCATCTAGGCTGTACAGTACAAGGGTACCAGACAGCTCCTGGGACCGTAGGAGCGCACATCCTACGACCCGAACCCGCAGAAACCTTGTTCCAAACTTGAGTGATCTCTTGCCCCTCAACCCTAAAGCCCCCAACATAAGCCGACAAAAAAGACTCAACCCGTTCAGCCCCCTTTGCGGTGCCCAGGGTCATCGTACGTCCCTGCGTCAACCGGGAGCTCAGAGATGTCGGAGCCCAACTCGGAATCGGAACCTCGGGGCTTTGGGGGAATTTTCGGGCCCGATGCTTCGGTGGGGCTGAGGGGGTGAGGGGGGTGCATGGAGGGGGGGGTTGAGGTTTCGGGGTTTGTGGCTTGGGGCCTTGGGAGTTGGCCCTCTTTACCTGAATCCAAACCCGAGGTCCCTGGCAAAGCTGACCGTCCCTGAACACTGTTGACAGCCAGGGAGCCGTAGTAATCGGCGCCGTCGTCTGTGCCAGGTGCCTCCGAGATAAACACCAAACTGCTACCCAAAAGGTCCGTGTACCCCTGTAGTAATTAAGAAGAACCTCATACGGGCCCTTGTATAGCCTCACCCCAAACCCTAAGAACCCTAAACCTCAAACCCTAAGAACCCTCAGAACCCTCAGAACCCTAAGAACCCTAAGAACCCTAAACCCCTCCAAACTTCCCCCGCCTGCGTGGTTGGATGCAGCTGCCTTGTGCGCGATTGGAGACCTGCTCCGCACGTGGCCGTGCACCTCGGCAGAAGACTATGCGCTCTTTAGGGTTCAAGGGTTCGAAAAAAGTTAACGAGCGATTTTGATCCACAACGAACACCGGCCCCATGCGAGGGCCACAGAACCTATGCACATTGGGCACTCGCAGGGTGGAGGGCCACCAAGCTCTGACATGCTGCTGCTGGGTCTACGGAATACAGAGCTTAGCCCCTAAACGCTGAAGATCAAACCCCGATACGTCCTGAACGCGGAGCTTCTGAGGGAGTTGCGGGCCGTAGTCTGACCAGGCCGCCCACAGGCAGTACGTCTTGTCCGTACCTTGGCATCGGGTTCAAGGGCTCAAGAGGGGATTCAGGGGATTGAGCAGGTTTGTGGGGTCTGAGGGATTGCGGTCTTTCTGGCTTGGCGCTGCAAGCTAGGCCAAATTCCAGCTGGGCACAAGTCCATGAAAGCAACTTGCCCTGAACTCGGAACTACGCTGCACGGCTTCACTCAAGCAGAATGCTCTCCCAACATAAGCCCTGCCACACATGCAAGGTCTCAATTTGGCCTCAAGCCCGAGACCCCAAGCCAAGGGGTTTAGGGTTCGTAGGGTTTAGGGCTTGGGGGGAACCCCCCCCACCCCTTTCGACCAAGGCCCCAGGCAGGTGCGCGGGCATTTTGTCACTTCCACCGCGTGCGCGTGGTGGCAGGGCTGCAGCAGGCATGTCTCTTGGGTTTCGGTTCGAGGGCAATTGTCAGGGCTTAGTGATTCGGTCGTTGCTTGTTCTTTCTTCGGCTTTCAGGGTCTAGGGGAGGGTTCAGGTGGTTGACCAATTTAGGGGTCTGGGGTTGTCGGGTTTCGGAGGTTCAGAGTCGT